AAACCCATCACTGAACCCACCAGGATCTTCCTGAACCCCCAAAACCCATCACTGAACCCACCAGGAACTTCCTGAACCCCAAAATCCATCATTGAACCCACCAGGACCTTCCTGAACCCCAAAACCCCAAAACCCATCACTGAACCCACCAGGACCTTCCTGAACCCCAAAACCCATCACTGAACCCACCAGGAGCTCCCAGAACCCCCCAAAACCAGCCCATAAACCCCTCCCAATTCCCCTCCCCTATTTTTGAGTCTTTTTTGGGGTGTCCCCCCACATTTTCGAGGGTGTATCTTGAGATGCCCCCCCTCCCAATTTTGGGGTGTATTTTGAGACACCCCCCCCCATTTTTGGGGTCCCTTTTGGGTGTCCCCCCCCATTTTTGGGGTGTCCCCCCCCATTTTTGGGGTCCCTTTCGGGGTGTCCCCCCCCATTTTTGGGGTGTCCCCCCCCCATTTTTGGGGTGTCCCCCCCATTTTTGGGGTCCCTTTCAGGGTGTGTCCCCCCCCATTTTTGGGGTGTCCCCCCCTATTTTTGGGGTCCCTTTCGGGGTGTCCCCCCTCATTTTTGATGTCCCTTTTGGGGTGTCCCCCCCCATTTTTGGGGTGTGTCCCCCTCCCATTTTTGGGGTGTCCCCCCCTCATTTTTGGGGTCCCTTTGGGGTGTGTCCCCCCATTTTTGGGGTCCCTTTTGGGGTGTGTCCCCCCCTCATTTTTGGGGTCCCTTTGGGGGTGTGTCCCACTCCATTTTTGGGTGTCCTCCATTTTGGGGTCCCTTTTGTGGTGTCCTCTCATTTCTGAGGTCCATCCCGGGGTGTCTCCCCCCATTTTTGGGGTCCCTTTGGGGTGTCCCCTCCATTTTCGGGGTGTCCCCTATTTCGGGTCCTTTGGGGTGTCCTCCCATTTTGGGGACTCTTTGGGGTGTCCCCCCATTTTTGGGGCGTCCCCCCATTTCTAGAGGTCCATCCCGGGGTGTCCCCCATTTTGGAGTCCCTTTTTGGGTGTGTCCCACCTCATTTTTGGGGCGTGTCCCTCTCATTTTTGGGGTGTCCCCCATTTTGGGGACCCTTTTGGGGTGTCCTCCCATTTTTGGGGCGTCCCCCCATTTCTGAGGTCCATCCTGGGTGTCTCCCCATTTTTGGGGTCCCTTTTGGGGTGTCCCCTGCTTTTCGGCCCCCTCACCGCGCGGCCAGGAAGAGGACGCAGCTGACGGCCAGGTAGGCGAGGAGCATGAAGAGCCACACGGCCGGCGAGAAGGGTCTAGGAAGGAGAATACCCCGGCTTGCGGCCCTGGGGGACACGGCGTGAGACCCCGCGGTGGCACCGGCCCCGGGGACCCCAAACACCCCCAAACCCCCTAAACCCCCTACCATGTGGACAGCGGTAGAGGATGCTGATGCCCAGGGTCATGAAGGGCTTGGAGAAGTCGATCACCTTCTCCCGCTCGGCCGTGATGGTGAAGGCGGCCACGGCCAGGTCGGCTTTCTGGGAGATTTTTGGGGGTAGGGTCGAAAATGAGGGTCCACAACCCCCTGCAATGGCAGTGACAACCCCAAACTGCCCTCCCACCCCCCCACCCGAGGTCCTGCGCCTGCTCCCCTAAAAACCACGTGGGATGTTCCCGTGGGGTTGTGGAAACCCCCAAAATCCCATCCTACAGCACCCAAACTGCCCCCAAATCCCACCTACAACCCCAAACCCTCCCCAAATCCCACCCTGCAGCCCCAAACCACCCCAACCCCCAAATCCCACCCTACAGCCCCCAAACCACCCCTAAATCTCACCCCTAAATCCCACCCCTACAGCTCCCAAACCCCCATATCCCACCCTACAGCCCCCAAACCACCCCAACCCCCAAAGCCCCATCCTACAGCCCCCAAACCCCTGAAATCCCACCCCTACAGCCCCCAAACCCCCTACAGCCCCAGGACTCACCCTATTGATGAGCTCTCCCACCATGCCGGTCCAGGAGCCGTTGGGCTCGGGCGCCCCGTACAGCCCGTCCCCAAACTGACCCCAAACCCCATCCTACAGACCCCAAACCCCATCCTACAGCCCCCTAAACCCCATCCTACAGCCCCCAAACTCCCATCCTACAGCCCCCAAACCCCCATCCTACAGACCCCAAACCCCATCCTCACACACCCCAAACTCCCCAAACCCCACCCTACAGACCCTAAACCCCATCCTACGGACCCCAAACCCCATCCTACAGACCCCAAACCCCCATACTGACCCCAAACCCCCCAAATCCTCCTCCCAAACGTACCCTATTGATGAGCTCTCCCACCATGCCGGTCCAGGAGCCGTTGGGCTCGGGGCCCCATTACAGCCCGTCCCCCAAACCGACCCCAAACCCCATCCTACAGCCCCCAAACCCCCAAACTGACCCCAAACCCCATCCTACAGACCCCAAACCCCATCCTACAGCCCCCAAACCACCCAAACCGACCCCAAACCCCATCCTACAGCCCCCAAACCCCCAAACCCCCTAGGACTCACCCTATTGATGAGCTTCTCCCACCATGCCGGTCCAGGAGCCGCTGGGCTCGGGGCCCTACACAGCCCGTCCCCCCAAACCGACTCCCAAACCCCATCCTACAGCCCCCAAACCCCATCCTACAGACCCCAAATCCTCCCCAAACGTACCCTATTGATGAGCTCTCCCACCATGCCGGTCCAGGAGCCGTTGGGCTCTGGCGCCCTGCACAGCCCGTCCTCCAAACCGACCCCAAACCCCATCCTACAGCCCCCAAACCCCATCCTACAGACCCCAAACCCCATCCTAGGACTCACCCTATTGATGAGCTCTCCCACCATGCCGGTCCAGGAGCCGTTGGGCTCGGGGGCCCCGTACAGCCCGTCCTCCACCAGGCGCAGCTGGAAGCGGAACTTGAGCAGCCGGGCGAGCTCCCTCAGCATGTCCACGCAGAACCCCTCGTAGCGCTCGCCCCCCGCGCCCCCCACGCGCATCACGCACGGGTTCTCCTCGGGGACACCCAGAGGAGACCCCATTGAGACCCCAAGTGAGACCTAAATGGATCCAAATGGAGACCCCAAATGGGGACCCCAATGGAGACCCCAATGGATCCAATGGAGACCCCAATGGAGATCCCAAATGGAGACCCCAAAGGGAGACCCCAATGGGAGGTCCACGCAGAACCCCTCGTAGCGCTCGCGCCCCGCGCCCCCCACGCGCATCACGTACGGGTTCTCCTGCGGGGACACCCCAGAGGAGACCCCATTGGAGATCCCAATGGAGATCCCATTGGAGACCCCAATGGAGACCCCAATGGAGACCCCAAAAGGGAGATCCCAATGGGAGACCCCATTGGAGACCCCAAATGGAGACCCCATTGGAGATCCCAATGGAGACCCCAAAGGGAGACCCCATTGGAGATCCCAATGGAGACCCCAAAGGGAGATCCCAAATGGGGAACCCCAATGGAGACCCCAATGGAGACCCCAATGTATCCAATGGAGATCCCAAATGGAGACCCCAAAAGGGCGATCCCAATGGGAGGTCCACGCAGAACCCCTCGTAGCGCTCGCCCCCCGCGCCCCCCACGCGCATCACGTACGGGTTCTCCTGCGGGGGGATCCCAGAGGAGACCCCATTGGAGATCCCATTGGAGACCCCAAAGGAGACCCCAAATGGATCCAATGGAGACCCCAAAGGAGACCCCAAATGGAGACCCCAAATGGAGACCCCAATGGAGACCCCATTGGAGATCCCAAATGGGGAACCCAATGGAGACCCCAAATGGAGATCCCAAAGGAGATCCCATTGGAGATCCCATTGGAGACCCCATTGGAGACCCCATTGGAGATCCCAAATGGAGACCCCATTGGAGACCCCAAATGGAGACCCCATTGGAGACCCCAAATGGAGACCTCATTGGAGATCCCAAATAGGGAACCCAAATGGAGACCCCAATGGAGATCCCAAATGGAGACCCCAATGAAAATCAATCCCCCCCAGTCCCCTCCCAGTCCCTCCCAGTGCCCACCAGGATGGTGGTGATGATGAGGGTTTTGTTCTCCAGTCCCTCCCAGTCCCTCCCAGTGCCTCCCAGTGCTCCCAGTGCCCACCAGGATGGTGGTGATGATGAGGGTTTTGTTCTCCAGTCCCTCCCAGTCCCTCCCAGTCCCTCCCAGTGCTTCCCAGTGCCCACCAGGATGGTGGTGATGATGAGGGTTTTGTTCTCCAGTCCCTCCCAGTCCCTCCCAGTCCCTCCCAGTGCTCCCAGTGCTCACTAGGATGGTGGTGATGATGAGGGTTTGTTCTCCAGTCCTCCCAGTCCTCCCAGTGTCTCCCAGTGCTCCCAGTGCCCACCAGGATGGTGGTGATGATGAGGGTTTTGTTCTCCAGTCCCTCCCAGTCCCTCCCAGTGCCTCCCAGTGCTCCCAGTGCCCACCAGGATGGTGGTGATGATGATGGGTTTTGTCTCTCCAGTCCTCCCAGTCTCCCAGTCTCCCAGTGCCCAGGATGTGATGTGAGGGTTTTTCTCCAGTCCTCCCAGTCCTCCCAGTGCTCCCAGGTGTCAGTGCCACCAGGATGGTGGTGATGATGAGGGTTTTGTTCTCCAGTCCCTCCCAGTCCCTCCCAGTGCCTCCCAGTGCTCCCAGTGCCCACCAGGATGGTGGTGATGATGAGGGTTTTGTTCTCCAGTCCCTCCCAGTCCCCTCCCAGTGCTCCCAGTGCTCCCAGTGCCCACCAGGATGGTGGTGATGATGAGGGTTTTGTTCTCCAGTCCCTCCCAGTCCCTCCCAGTGCCTCCCAGTGCTCCCAGTGCCCACCAGGATGGTGGTGATGATGAGGTTTTGTTCTCCAGTCCCTCCCAGTCCCTCCCAGTGCCTCCCAGTGCTCCCAGTGCCCACCAGGATGGTGGTGATGATGAGGGTTTTGTTCTCCAGTCCCTCCCAGTCCCTCCCAGTGCCTCCCAGTGCTCCCAGTGCCCACCAGGATGGTGGTGATGATGAGGGTTTTGTTCTCCAGTCCCTCCCAGTCCCTCCCAGTGCCTCCCAGTGCTCCCAGTGCCCACCAGGATGGTGGTGATGATGAGGGTTTTGTTCTCCAGTCCCTCCCAGTCCCTCCCAGTGCCTCCCAGTGCTCCCAGTGCCCACCAGGATGGTGGTGATGATGAGGTTTTGTTCTCCAGTCCCTCCCAGTCCCTCCCAGTGCTCCCAGTGCTCCCAGTGCCCACCAGGATGGTGGTGATGATGAGGGTTTTGTTCTCCAGGCTCTCCCAGTCCCTCCCAGTCCCTCCCAGTGCCTCCCAGTGCTCCCAGTGCCCACCAGGATGGTGGTGATGATGAGGGTTTTGTTCTCCAGTCCCTCCCAGTCCCTCCCAGTGCTCCCAGTGTTCCCAGTGCCCACCAGGATGGTGGTGATGATGAGGTTTTGTTCTCCAGGCTCTCCCGAGTCCCTCCCAGTCCCTCCCGAGTGCCTCCCAGTGCTCCCAGTGCCCACCAGGATGGTGGTGATGATGAGGGTTTTGTTCTCCAGGCTCTCCGAGCTGTTCAGCCCCAGCGTGGCCTCGTCCATGGCCAGGGTGTGGTTGGAGAACCAGACCCCCACCTGAGGGGGCGGGGCCTCAGGAAAGGGGCGGGGCCATGGGAAAGGGGGTGTGGTCTCGTGAGAGGGGGTGGCCTCGAGGAAGGGGGGCGGGGCTTGGGGAAAGGGTGGGGAGTGGGGAGGGGGCCACAAGGGGAGCTCTGGGGGTCACTCTGGGGGTCCTGGGGGTGTCCTTGGGATCCCGTGGGTCAGTGGGGGTCCCGTGGGTGTCCTGGGGGTCCCATGTGGGTCACTCTGGGGTCCCGTGGGTCACTCTGGGGGTCCCACGGGAGTCACTCTGGGGGGTCACTCTGGGGGTCACTCTGGGGGTCCTGGTGGTCCCTGAGGGTCACTCTGGGGGGGTTAATCTGGGAGGTCCCGCAGGGGTCCCTGGAGGTCCCGGGGTCCGTGGGTCACTCTGGGGTCCCTGGGGGTCCCGTGGGTGTCCCTGGGGTCCCGTGGGTCACCCTGGGGGTCCCGTGGGGCTGTGGGGGTCCCGGGGGTCACCCTGGGGGTCCCGTGGGTCAGTGGGTGTCCGTGGGGGTCCCTGGGGGTCCCGTGGCTCAGTGGGGGTCCCGTGGGGGTCCGTGGGGTCCCGTGGCTCAGTGGGGGTCCGGGGGTCACTCTGGGGTCCCGTGGCTCAAGTGGGGTCCGTGGGGCTGTGGGGTCCCCGTGGGTCACTCCAGAGGTCCCAGGGGTCCGTGGGGGTCCCGTGGGGCTGTTGGTGTCCCTGGGTGTCCCTGGGGTCCCGTGGGTGTCCCTGGGGGTCCCGAGGGTCGCTCTGGGGGTCCCGTGGGGCTGTGGGTCCGTGGGGTCCCGTGGGTCAGTGGGTGTCCGTGAGGGTCCCGTGAGGGTCCCGAGGGGCTGTGAGTGTCCCTGGGTGTCCCTGGGGTCCCGGAGTCGCTCTGGGGTCCGTGGGGCTGTAGGGGTCCCGTGGGGTCCCGTGGGTCACTCAGGGGGGGTCCGTGGGGTCCCCGTGGGAGTCCCCGAGGGCTGCGCCTCGCCCCACCTCTCTGGTGCCGTCGCGGCCCTTCTCGAGCACGCGCAGGCTGTAATTCGTTCTCTGCCCTTTGCTGTTGAACTCCACGCGCCCCGTCAGACCCTCGTGCTCCACCTGGGGGGACAGGGGGATGGGGGACCCCCAGAGACCCCCCCAAATCCCCACAGACCCCCCCAAATCCCCACAGACCCCTCAGGGACCCCCAAATCCCCACAGACCCCCAGATCCCCAGAGACCCCCAAATCTCCACGCGCCCGTCAGACCCTCGTGCTCCACCTGCGGGGGACAGGATGGGGACCCCAGAGACCCCCCAAATCCCCACAGACCCCTCCAAATCCCCACAGGCCCCCCCAGATCCCCACAGACCTCAGGGACCCCCCAAATCCCCCCCCAAATCCCCCCAAATCCCCCCAGACCCTCAGGGACCCCCAATCCCCGCGCGCCCGTCAGCCCCTCGTGCTCCACCTGGGGACAGGGGGATGGGGACCCTAGAGACCACCCAGGGACCCCCCAAACCCCACAGACTCCCACAAATCCCCCAAATCCCCAAGACCCTCAGGGACCCCCTAAAACCCCACAGACCCCGTCAGCCCTCGATGCTCCACCTGGGGGAAATGGGGGATGGGGACCCCAGAGACCCCCAAATCATGGGGAACCCCAGGGACCCCCAAATCCCCAGAGACCCCCGAGATCCCCACAGACCCCAGATCCCACAGACCCCCCAATCCCTACAGACCCCATCAGCCCTCGTGCTCCACCTGGAGAAGCGGGGACAGGGGGACCCAGAGACCCCCAAATCAAGGGGGACCCCAGAGACCCCCAGAGACCCCCAAATCCCCCGGAGCCCCAGGACCCCAAATCCCCCAAATCCCCACGCGCCCGTCAGCCCCTCGCACTCCACCTGCGGGGACAGGGATGAGAGATCCCAGAGACCCCCAGAGCCCCCCCACAACTCCCACAGACCCCCAGAGACCGAAATCCCCACAGACCTCCCCCTATGCCCATCATGCCTCCTGGGGGCAGGGGGATTGGGGACCCCCGGGGGTGTTATTTTTGTGGTCCCCCCTGGGGATTTTGGGGTGTTTTTGGGGCCCCCCCCATCTCACCATTCTCAGGTGTCCCCCCCATGATTTTGGGGTTATTTTGGGGCCCCCGGAGATTTTGGGAATGCTTTAGGGGTCCCCATCTCACCATTCTCAGGTGTCCCCCCCTGGTGATTTTGGGGTTATTTTGGGGCACCCCCTGGTGATTTTTGGGGTGTTTTGGGGTGTTTTGGGGTGTTTTGGGGTGTTTTTGGGTCCCCAGCTCACCATTCTCAGGTGTCCCCCTGGTGATTTTTGGGTGTTTTGGGGTGTTTTTGGGCCCCCCCCCGGTGATTTTTGGGGTGTTTTGGGGTGTTTTTGGGGCCCCCCCCGGTGATTTTTGGGGTGGTTTTGGGTGTTTTTGGGGTGTTTTTGGGGGTGCTCACCATTCTCAGGTAGTTCATCAGGCTGGTGCCGTGGGGCCCAAACTCCGGGCGGCAAGAAGCTAAGGGGCACCCGATCTCCTGGGAGCGGTTCAGCTCCACGCCCGCCACCACCACGTGAACCGCATCGAACAGGAGGGCAGCCGAGAGCTGGGGGGGATTGTCAGCTTTGGGACCCCCAAATCCACCCCCTGACCCCCCAAACCCATCCCCTGACCCCAAAATCCACCCCCTGTCACTCCTCCGATCTCCTGGGAGCGGTTCAGCTCCTCACCGGCCCCCACCACCACGTGCACGGCATCAAAGAGGAGGGCTGCTGAGAGCTGGGAGGTAATTGAGCTTTGGGACCCCTAAATCCACTCCTGACCCCCAAACCCATCCCCTGACCCCCAAACCCATCCCCTGTCACCCCCCGATCTCCTGGGAGCGGTTCAGCTCCCTCACGGCCCCCACCACCACGTGAACAGCGTCAAAGAGCAGGGCAGCCGAGAGCTGGGGGGGTAATTTGGGATTGGGGGCACTCTGAACCCCAAATGAATCCTCTGACCCCCAAAATCCACCCCCAGACACCCCCAGGTTTCCCTCCCGGATTTGGATTTTCCCTGGTGGGTTTGAGGTCTCCCTTTGGGATCTGGGGTTTCCCGGGTGAATTTTTTGGGGTTTCTCTCCCAGATTTGGGGTCTCCCCTCACCGCAGGGCCAGGATAAGGCCCCAGGTCGCAGCTCGCCCTCCAGGACATGTCGGGGTTTCCCTTTGGGGTTTGGGGTCTCCCTTTGGGATTTGGGGTTTTCCTTTGGGGTTTGGGGTTTCCCGGGTGGATTTTTTGGGGTTTCTCTCAGGTTTTTGGGGTCTCCCCTCACCGCAGGGCCGGGGTAGGGCCCCAGGTCGCAGCTCTCCCTCCAGGACATGTTGGGGTTTCCCTTTGGGGTTTGGGGTCTCCCTTTGGGATCTGGGTTTCCTAGGTGGATTTTTTTGGGGTTTCTCTCCCAGATTTGGGGTTTCTCTCAGGTTTTTGGGGTTTCTCTCAGGTTTTTGGGGTCTCCCCTCACCGCAGGGCCGGGGTAGGGCCCCAGGTCGCAGCTCTCCCTCCAGGACATGTCGGGGTTTCCCTTTGGGGTTTGGGGTCTCCCTTTGGGATCTGGGTTTCCCGGGTGGATTTTTTGGGGTTTCTCTCCCAGATTTGGGGTTTCTCTCAGGTTTTTGGGGTCTCCCCTCACCGCAGGACCAGGATAAGGCCCCAGGTCGCAGCTCTCCCTCCAGGACATGTTGAGGCTCCGCACGAACTCCCCGTAGAACCGGTGGCTCGTGTTGAACATCGAGAACCCCAGCACGGTGGCCGGGGGGGAGGGGAGCGACTCCAGGTGCAGCAGGGGGAAGTCCTGGGGTCAAACAGGAGTCACATGGGGGTCATTGGGGTCAGTCTGGGGTCATTGGGGTCATTGGGGTCACTCAGGGGTCATTGGGGTCACACAGAGGTCACTGGGAAGGGGGGGAGGGGAGCGACTCCAGGTGCAGCAGGGGGAAGTCCTGGGGTCAAACAGGGGTCATTGGGGTCACTCTGGGGTCATTGGAGTCAGTCTGGGGTCATTGGGGTCACTCTGGGGTCAGTTGGAGGTCACGGGGTCATACAGGGTCAGGGGTCACCCTGGGGTCACTCGGGGTCAGGGTCACCCCGGGGTCACCCTGGGGTCAGTCGGGGTTACTCAGGGGTCACCCTGGGGTCACTCAGGGGTCAGGGGTCACCCCGGGGTCACTCAGGGTTGGGGTCACCCCGGGTCACTCGGGGTCACTCAGGGTCAGGGTCACCGAGGTCACCCTGGGTCACTCTAGGGTCATTCAGGGGTCAGGGTCACCCCGAGGTCACTCAGGGTCAGGGTCAGGGTCAGGGCTCACCATGGTGGTCAGGATGTATTTGTAGAACGTCGACATCATCCCCAGCCCGAGGCCTGGGGAGGGGGATTGAGGGGTGTCCCCCCAAAAACCCCTGAAATCACCCCCAAATCCCTCCAAACCCCCCAAATCCCCCAAATCCCCCAAATCCTCCCCCAAACTCCTCCAAATCCCCCTCAAATTCCCCAAACCCTCCAAATCCCTCAAATCCCCCCCTAAACCCTCCAAATCCCCCCTCAACTCCCCCCCCCTCAAACCCCCTCAAACTCCCTCCCCGGCTCCCCCAAGCTCCCCAGACCCTCCCAAACCCCTTGAAAACCCCCTCAGACCCCCACACAAACCCCAAATCCCCCCCAAATCCCCCTAAATCCCTCCAGATCTCCCCCACCCAAACCTCCCCCAAAGTCCCCCCCAAACTCCCCATAAATCCCCATAAACCCCCATAAACCCCCAATAAATCCCTCATAAACCCCCAAACCTTGGCCAGCACCAGCCCAGCCAGTGCTGGCGGGGCCGTCGATGACGATGGTGGGCACTTTGTCACACCCCAAACCCCCATAAACCCCCATCAAATCCCCCAAACCCCCATAAATCCCCCAAACCTTGGCCAGGACCCCCCAGAATCCCCCAAACCTTGGCCAGGACGAGCCCTGCGATGGCAGCGGGGCCGTCGATGACGATGGTGGGCACTTTGTCACCCCCAAACCCCCCATAAATCCCCCCCAGGACCCTCCAAACCCCCCTAGGACCCCCCAAACCTTGGCCAGCACCAGCCCAGCCGTGCTGGCGGGGCCGTCGATGACGATGGTGGGCACTTTGTCGTCCCGGATCTCCTTGAGCAGCGGGGTCGGGTCCTGCTCCCCGTCCAGGACCCGCACAGAGAGCGACTCCCGGGAGATCAGGAACTGCCTCACCAGCTCCTCGAGGCGCAGCAGGCCTGGGGGACCCCAAAATCCGCAAAAATCACCCCAAAATCCGCAAAAATCAACGCAAAATCCGGCCCTGGGACCCCCAAATCCAACTACAGCACCCCAAAATCCCCCCCGACTCCCGGGAGATCAGGAACTGCCTCACCAGCTCCTCCAGCCTCAGCAGGCCTGGGGGACCCCAAAATCCGCAAAAATCACCCCAAAATCCACCAAAATCACCCCAAAATCCATCCCTGGAACCCCCAAATCCCCCCCGACTCCCGGGAGATCAGGAACTGCCTCACCAGCTCCTCGAGGCGCAGCAGGCCTGGGGGACCCCAAAATCCGCCAAAATCACCCCAAAATCCACCAAAATCACCCCCAAATCCCCCCCGACTCCTGGGAGATCAGGAACTGCCTCACCAGCTCCTCCAGCCTCAGCAGGCCTGGGGGACCCCAAAATCCACAAAAATCACCCCAAAATCTGGCCCTGGGACCCCAAAATCTGCAAAAATCACCCCAAAATCCCCCCAAACCCCCCCAACTCCCCCCCGACTCCCGGGAGATCAGGAACTGCCCCCCAGCTCCTCCAGCCTCAGCAGGACTGGGGGCAGGTCTGAGACCCCCAAATTCATCCCTGGGACCCCCAAATCCAAACCCAGGACCCCCAAAGCCCCCCCAGCTTGCAGGAGAGCAGGAACTGCCCCCTGAGACCCCCAAATCCTTGTCCAGGACCCCAAACCACCCCCCAGATCCCCTCCCATCGCCCCAACCCCCAAACCCTCTCCCAACCTCCCCCAACCCCCCAAATCCCACCCAAACCCCTCAAAATCCCCCCCAACCCCTCAAAATTCCCCCAAATCCCACCCAAATCCCACCCAAACCCCCTCCCATCACCCCAAACCCCCTTAAACACTCCTCCCCGTGCCCCCAAAATCCCCCCCAAATCCTCTCCCATCCCCATTAAACCCCTTCCCACCCCCTCAAACCCCCAAATCCCCCAAAACCTCCCAAAGCCCCCTAAATCCCCACCCCCAAATCCCCCCAGCTCCCCAAATCCCCCTACACTCGGGCCTGGCGCAGATGAGGGAGGCGGGGGGGCGCGAGGCTCTCAGGAGCCCCCAGGGCCCCCAAATCCCCTAAATCCCCCTGAAACCCCCCAAATCCCCCCAGCCCCCCAGCCCCCCAAATCCCCCTACACTCGGGCCTGGCGCAGATGAGGGAGGCGGGGGGGCGCGGAGGCTCTCAGGAGCTCCCAGGGCCCCGCTGACGTCCTCGTTGCTGGGGTAGAGGCTGAGCTGAGGCCAGGCGGAGCAGGGGGCCGGGGGCGTCCTCGGGGCCCACCCGGATGTGGGGATCTGAAATTGGGGGTTTGGGGTCATTAGAGTCACAGGGGGTCATTTGGGTCACGAGGGCGTCCTCGGGCCCACCCGGATGTGGGGATCTGAAATTGGGGGTTTGGGGTCATTGGGGGTCATTGGGGGTCATTTGGGGTCATTGGGGCGTCTCGGGACCCACCCGGATGTGGGGGATCTGAAATGGGGGTTATTTGGGTTATTGGGGTCATTTGGGGTCATTTGGGGTCATTGGGGCGTCCTCGGGGCCCACCCAGATGTGGAGGATCTGAAATTGGGGGTTTGGGGTCATTGGGGGTTTGGGGTCATTGGGAGTCCCAGGGGGTCATTTGGGGTCACGGAGGGAGTTTGGGGTCATTGGGGAATTATTGAGTCACTAGAGCGTCCTCGGGCCCACCCGGATATGGGGATCTGGAAATTTGGAGTCATTTGGGGTCATTTAGGGTCATTGAGGCGTCCTCGGGGCCCACCCGGATGGGGGGGATCTGAAATGGGGGGAGATTGGGGGGCTTTGGGGTCATTGGGGGTCATTTGGGGTCATTGGGGGGTTATTGGGGTCACTGGGGGCTTATTGGGGTCACAGTGGGGCCACAGGGGGTGCCGGGGGGTGTTTTGGGGTGTTTTAGGGCAGTTTTGGGGGTCCCTCACCTCTTTCTCCCCGCAGATGTGGCTGACCGTGGTGGGTGGGTTTGGGGGTTTTTGGGGGTTTTGGGTGTTTTTGGGGTGTTTTTGGGGTGTTCTCACCTCTTTCTCCCCCGCAGATGTGGCTGACCGTGGGGGTGGGTTTGGGGTCCGGGAGGTTGGGGTTTGGGGGTTTTTAGGGTGTTTTTGGGGTATTTAGGGGTGTTTTTGGGGTATTTTGGGGTGTTTTTGGGTGTTCTCACCTCCTTCTCCCACAGATGTGGCTGACCGTGGGGGGTGGGTTTGGGGGTCCCGGGGAGGTTGGGGGTTTTTGGGGGTGGTTTGGGGTGGGTTTTAGGGGTGTTTTTGGGGTATTTTGGGGTATTTTTGGTCAGTTTTGGGGTGTTCTCACCTCCTTCTCCCCGCAGATGTGGCTGACCGTGAGGGGGTGGGTTTGGGGATTTTGGGGTGCTTCGGGTATTTTTGGTCAGTTTTGGGGTGTTTTGGGGTGTTCTCACCTCTTTCTCCCCGCAGATGTGGCTGACCGTGGCCGCAGCCGCCGGGCTCGCCGCCGGGCCCAGCACCGAGACCACCCCCTTGGGCAGGATCTGACACACTGGGGAGGGGGCACGACTGGGGGCTGGAAACCCCGGGACCACCCAGACCCCCCAGTCCCGCCCAGTCCCACCCAGTCCATCCCAGTGCCTCCCAGTGCCTCCCAGTGCCTCCCAGTCCTCTCCCCAGGGCCCCACTCCCATCCTGGGACCCCTCGGGACCCCCCAGAAATTCCCTGGGAACACCCAGGACCCCCCAGTGCCCCCATTCTACCCCAATCCCCCTCCCAGTCTCTCCCAGTCCCTCCCCATTCCCCCCAGTATAACCCAGTCCCCCAAATCCCCTCCCAGTGCCCCCACTCCCTCCCAGTGCCCTCCAGTCCCCCCCAGTGCCCTCCTAGCCTCTCCCCTCCCACTCCCCCAAACCCCTAAACACCTCCCAGTCCCCTCCCAGTGCCCCCCAATCCCCTCCCAGTCCCTCCCAACCCCCCCAGTCCCTCCCAGTGCCCCCAGTCCCCCCGAACCTCCCCCTAATCCCCTCCCAATCCTCCCCACAGTCCCACCCAGTCCCTCCCAGTCCCCTCCCAGTGTCCCCCAACCCACCCAGAAACCCCCCAAACACCCCCAATCCTCTCCCAGTCCTCCCCGTGCCTCACTGGTGTCGGTGGTCTCGTACTGGCTGTCCCGGGGCAGCTCTGAACACATCGACCTCGAGCCGGGCCGGGGTCTCCCCGGGCCATTGACGTGTTCCCGGGCCAGGGCCAGGGCCAGGCGCTCCCCTGCCCGCAGCCCCCTGCTCGTCCAGGATGGCGGCTGGGGCAACGGGGGTCAGATCCCAAAACTCCCCCAAAAACCCTGACCCCAAAACCCCTCAAAAAAACCTGAACCCAAAAACCCCCCAGAGACCCCAAACCCCCAGAGACCCCAAACCCCCAGAGACCCCAAACCCACCCAGAGACCCTCCCCGATCAACCCCAGAACCCCCCCCGCCTGCAGCCCCCCTGCTCGTCCAGGATGGCGGCTGGGGGCACGGGGGCTCAGATCCCAAACCCCCCAAAAAACCCTGACCCCAAAAAACCCCTCCTGAAAAAACCTGACCTAAAAACCCCCCAGAGACCCCAAACCCACTCCACAGAACCCCCTGCCCGCAGCCCCCTGTCTGTCCAGGATGGCGGCTGGGGCACATGGGGCCAGACCCCAAAACCCCCCTGAAAAAAATCCTGACCCCAAACCCCCCCAGAGACCCCAGCCCCCCAAGACCCCCAACCCCCAAATCTCCCACCCCGACCCCCTGTGCCCCCAATCTCACCCAGACCCCCGAGCCTCCCCAAATCTCACCCCCTGACCCCTGTGACCCCCTCCGACCCCCGGGACCCCTGTGACCCCCTCAGCCCCCAGCCCCCCAAATCTCCCACCCCGACCCCTGTGACCCCCTCGACACCTGTGACCCCCTGTGCCCCCGTGACCCCCTAGACTTCCTCCCCGCCCCCCTCTCACCCATCCGCAGCGCGGGGCCCGGAGTCCCTCGGGGCGGCGGCGCCCACGAAGAGGAGCAGGAGCAGCGTGGGGCGGGGGCAGCATCGCCTCTCCTCATGGGGTCCAGCTGCGGCACCGCCGCCTGCGACCCCCCACCCCCAGGGCGTCAGTGACCACCCCAAAATCCCACTCGGGACCCCCAAAACCCACCCGGGACCCCCAAACCCACCTGGGACCCCCGGGACCCCAAAATCCACTCCGGGACCCCCCACCCCCAGGGCGTCAGCGACCACCCCAAAATACAGTGGGACCCCAAAAACTCCACCTGGGACCCCCAAAATCCCACCTGGGACCCTCCCCCCAGGGCGTCAGTGACCACCCAAAAACACAGTGGGACGCCCAAAACCCATCTGGGAACCCTAGAATCCCACCTGGGACCCCCTGACCCCCACCCCCAGGGCGTCAGTGACCACCCCAAAAACACAGAGAGGACCCCCAAACCCCCTGGGACCCCCTGGGACCCCAAAATCCTCCTCCGGGACCCCCCCACCCCCAGGGCGTCAGTGACCACCCCAAAATACAGTGGGACCCCAAAACCCACCTGGGACCCCAAAATCCCACCTGAGGATCCCCTGGGACCCCCCACCCCCAGGGCGTCAGTGGCCACCCCCAAAATCCCACTCGGGACCCCCAAAACCCACCTGGGACCCCCAAATCCCACCCCAAACCCCCCAACAGTCCCATGAATTTGGGGCGTCCCCAGGGGTCCTGGGTGGTTTGGGGGTCCTGGGGTCTCCTGGAGTTTGGGGTCCCCTGAAGGGGCCGGGATTTGGGGCTCTTTTGAGGGGGGTCCTGGAGCTTGGGGGGTCCCTGGGGTGGGGGTTTAGGGGGATCTCCTCCCAATCCCTCCTGGGATTTTGGGGTCCTGGGTTGGAGGATCCCGGGGGTCCCTGAGGGGTCCCTGGGGGTCCTGGTGCTTGAGGGTGGGGTCCTGGGGGTCCCCATCCCCAATCCCTCCCGGGATTTTGGGGTTCCTGGGATTTTGGGGGTCCTGGGGTTTGGGGGTCCTGGGGTTCCTGGGGTCCTGGTGCTCGGGAGGGGGTCCTGGGGGTCCTCTGCCCCAACCCCTCCCCCGCAGCCTCCCCAAAAGTGTCCTGGTAACTGCTGCCATGGCACGGCTCCGGCTCCAGTGGATGCTGTGGCTGCCTTGGCAACGGAGGGGGAGGGGTGAAGGACCAGGGGCGACCCCTCCCCACCCACCGGTGCTTCCCACCCACCCCCCCCCCACTCAGGACCCCCTAAACCTGCCCCTTCCTCCCCCCCCAATCCCCGGAGCCTCCGGGACCCCCTAAAAACGACCCCAAAAATCAACCCCTAAAAATCAACCCCTAAAAATCAACCCCAAAATCAACCCCCAAAATCAACCCTAAAAATCAACCCCTAAAATCAACCCTTAAAAATCAACCCCAAAAATCAACCCCAAAAATTAACCCCTAAAAATCAACCCCCAAAAAACCCCCAAAAACCTCCCAAAACCTGGCCCCCCCACCCCCCAAAATTCAACCCGGGGACCCCCAGGCCTGCTCCCTCCCCCACGCCCTGGTTTGGGACCCCAAAATTGGGATTCGGGGGAAAATGGGATCGACGGATCGGATCGGGGAGGGCGGTGGGAATCTGGGAGGGGGGAAGCAGGGGAGACCGGGAATGGGAACCGGAATGGGGATGGATCCGGGACCGGATTTGGGGACCGGATTTGGGATCGGACCGGGAATGGCGCCGGAACGGGGAGGGGTCCCGGGAACGGGGAGAGGGCGGGGGGGATGGATCGGGAATCGAGGGATGGATCCAGGACCGGGAATCGGTACCGGAATGGGGGACGGACCCGGGAATGGGGACCGGGGGATGAATCCTGGAATCGCGGGCCGGGAACGGGGAATTGGGGCTCGGGAATTGGGGATCAGGAATTGGGGCTCGGGAATTGGGGCTCGGGAATTCGGGATCGGAAATTGGGGCTCGGGAATTCGGGATCGGTACCGGGAATGAGGACGGAGGCCCGGGCCGGGGCCCGGAGCGGCGATGGATCCGGGAGCCGGGAATGGACCCGGGAGCCGGGAATGGACCCGGGAGCCGAGAATGGATCCGGGAGCCGGGAATGGGGCCGGGAGCCGGGAATGGGATCGCGGGGATGGATCCCCGCACCGGAAACCGGGGGCCGGGAGCGGGGCCGGGAGCGGGGCTGGATCAACGGGAGGGATCCCGGGAAAGGATCCCGGGGAAGGATCCGCCGGATGGATCCCCTCGATCGATCCCGGGAGCGGCGGCGCCGGGACCGGCGGCGGGAACCGGGAATTGGGAACCGGGAATTGGGAGCCGGGAATTGGGAACCGGGAATTGGGAGCCGGGAATTCGGAACCGGGCGTGGAGCTGCGGACCGGGAACCGGGATGGAAACCGGGATTGGGAGCGGGGCCCGCGGGGGGATCCCGGGAATGGGAACCGGGAATGGGAACCGGGAATGGGAACCGGGAATGAGAACCGGGAATGGCGGCGGATGCCGGGGATGGATCCGGGAACGGGGGGGAAGGGGCTGGAAAACGGCACTGGGAACCGGGAGCGGGGCTGGATCCGGGGGGTGGATCCGGGGATTGGATCCCGGTACCGGATCCCGGTGCCGACAGCGGGGATGGAACCGGGGGCTGGATCCGGGGGCTGGATCCGGGGGATGGATCCAGGGGATGGATCCTGGGGTGGCACCGGGATCGGGGCCCGGGGATGGGACGAGGGGGGCCCGATCCCGATCCCGGGGCTGGATCCCGGTACCGGTGGGGAGAAGGGGGGCTAAATCCCAAATCCCGGTCCCCGATCCCAAATCCCGGTCCCCGATCCCAAATCCCGGTCCCGGGGTAACCGGGTGACCCCCTTACTCCCACCCCCTTTCCCACGTCCCCCCACATTCCTGCTGCCCTCCCCCCCGATTTTCCTGGTGTGTCCCCTCCGTCCTCCCCGCCCCTCCCCTCCCGGCCCCCTGGAGCCTCCAGACCTCCCGGCCCCCCGGGTCACTCACGAGGCCGCGCGGTTGCCGCAGCTCCCGGCCCGGGGGCGGATTTTTGGGGGGTCGAGCGGCGTCTCCTCTGCCCGGCGCGGCGTTGGGAGGGGGCTGGATTTGGGGGGCGGAGGGGGGCAGGGTTCGGGCCCCCTGGTCTCGCGGCCTCGCGGCTCCAGCGGCGGCCGAGGGAGGAGGGGGTCGGTGGGGGGTCGGGGGAGTTTGGGGGTGGGGGAGTCCTGGGGCTCCCCGGGAAGCGAGGGAGGGTTGGGGGTTGAAGGGGAGGGGGCTGGGACCCCCAAAGCGGCTCTCCGAGCCCCCTCCCCCAAATATCCCCCCTCCCCAGGATGGTTCTGGGCCGGGGGCTTTTGGGGAGGGGGAGGAACCCCCCCACGGGGTGGGCTCTGTCCGGGGGCGGGGCTGGAGGAGTGGGCGTGACCGGGTGGGCGTGGCCATGGGGGTTAAACAGCCAATGGGAGGAGAGAGGGCGTGGTCAGATGGGGAGAGGGGGCGGGGACAAAGGGGGAGTGGTTCTTTCACCCAATCAGAGCGCGGGGGCGTGTCGGGATGGGGGCGTGGCTACAGAGAGTGACAGGGGCTGTCAGCCAATGAGCGCCGAGGGGGTGTGGCCACATAGGAGGAGAAGCCAGAAACAGCCAACCAGGGATGGGGGGCGTGGTCAGGGATGAGGGGCGTGTCCCAGACAGCCAATGAGGACTGTGGGGCGTGGTCACGTTCATTATAATGAGGGGGTGTGGCCTGACAGTGAAGGGACCAATGGGGAGCGCGGGGGCGGAGATCGAAGGAGGAGGGGCTTGCAGTGACAGACAGCGATGGGCGGGGCTAATCTGGGTGATTGACAGCTCGGGGGAGGGGCCAAACAGCCCCAAAACTTCCCCCTGGGGGGGTCTTTGCCCTCCCCCTCCTCCCCCACCCCAAAAGACATTTTTGGGTCCAGTTTTTCACTTTTTAATGAATCAGGAATCGCCCTCCCCCGCCCCTCCCCCCACCCAAATTCGGGGGGCAACGACCCTCCCCCCACCCGAATTTGGGGACAACGACCTGGGGGCCAGAATGAGGATTTCCACTGGGACCCCCAAAATGACGGGGACGGGGTTGAGAAGACACGGGGAGATTTGGGGGTGATGGGGACACGGGGAGGTCCCAAATACCCCCAGGAAAGGCCTGAGACCCCCACAGGGTTTGATCTGGGGGGTCCCAAGTGACCCCAGGGGGGTCCCTGGACCCCAAAAAAGGGGAGAGCCCCCCCCTCTTACCTCACACCCCCCCCTCCCCCCGGGGGGGTCCCGGGGCCATCCCGAGGGGCTCCTGCTCTGGGGGGTCCCCAGGGGGGGCCGAGGCTGCTCTGGGGGGCTCAGAGACCCCCGGGAGGGAGCCCCCAACCCCCGGGGGGCTCCTCCTTCAGCCCCTCCCGGGGGGCCCTGACCCCAAATCCAGCCCCTCCTGCACCAGGACGGTCCCTGAGGCCCCCTCAGGGGTCCCTGACCCCAAATCCAGGCCCTCCTGCACCAGGACTGTCCCTGAGGCCCCCTCAGGGGTCCCTGACCCCAAATCCAGCCCCTCCTGCACCAGGACGGTCCCTGAGGCCCCCTCAGGGGTCCCTGACCCCAAATCCAGCCCCTCCTGCACCAGGACGGTCCCTGAGGCCACCTCAGGGGTCTCCTGGACCAGGACGGCCCCTGAGGCCACCTCAGGGGTCTCCTGGACCAGGACAGTCCCTGCCCCCACCCCGGGGGTCCCTGACCCCAAATCCAGGCCCTCCTGGACCAGGACGGTCCCTGACGCCACCTCAGGGTCTCCTGACCAGGACGGTCCCTGCCACCACCCCGGGGGTCTCCTGGACCAGGACAACCCCAGACACCCCTCCGAGGTCCCCCTGCACCAGGACAGTCCCAGATCCCATCCCAACATTCCCTGACCCTGTTCCAACGTTCCCTGACCCCATCCCAGGATTCTCCTGGATCAGAACAGTCCCTGACCCCATGCCGGGGTTCTCCTGCACCAGGACAGTCCCAGACCCCATCCCAGGGCTCTCCTGGATCAGAACAGTCCCAGATCCCGTTCCAAGGCTCCCTGACCCCATCCCAACATTCCCTGACCCCACCCCAGGGCTCTCCTGCACCAGGATGGTTCCTGACCCCACCCCGGGGCTCTCCTGGATTAGAACATTCCCTGACCCCACCCCAACATTCCCTGACCCCATCCCGGGGCTCTCCTGCACCAGAACGGTCCCAGACCCCACCCCAACATTCCCAGACCCCATCCCGGTGTTCTCCTGCACCAGGACGCCCCCAGCCCCCGTCCCGGGGTTCCCGGTGCCCCCCTCCCCGCTCCCCTCCCCCGGGACGCCCTCGTGGCGGTGGCTCTTGCGGTGCTTCCAGAGGTTGGAGAAGCTGCGGTAGCTCTTGCCGCAGTGGGCGCAGCCGTAGGGGCGCTCCCCGGTGTGGATGCGCCGGTGCTCGGCCAGGCGCACGGCGATGGCGAAGCTCTTGCCGCAGTCGGGGCAGCGGAAGGGGCGCTCCCCGGTGTGCAGGCGCCGGTGGTCCTTGAGGTGTGTGGACTGGCGGAAGGCCTTGCCGCAGTCGGGGCAGGGGTAGGGCCGCTCGCCGGTGTGGATGCGCCGGTGCACCTGCAGCGAGGTCTCGGTGCTGAACAGCTTGCGGCACTCGCCGCACTCGAAGCTCTTGGGGCCCTTGGGCCGCGCCCGCGCCGGGCCCGGCGCCGCCTCCGGGGCGTCGTCCCCCTTGTCCTGGGGGTCCTGGGGTCCTGGGGTCCCGGGGCGCTGGGGCAGGTGCAGGCGCCGTAGGCGCGGAGCCGCGCGCCGTGCCCGCCTTGCGCCCGCACACCCCGCACTCGGAGCGGCGGCCGGCGCGGGCGCGGCACCGGTGCTCGGCCAGGCGGGCGGGCGAGGCGAAGGCGGCGCCGCAGCCCGGGCACAGCAGGGGCTGCCCCCCGGCGTGGCCCACCAGCAGGTGCACGTCGAGCAGGCGGCGCAGCAGGAAGGAGCGGCCGCACTGCGGGCACTTGTAGGGGTACTCTCCGGCGTGCAGGGCGCGGTGCAGCCGCAGGCGGTGCGGGCGCGGGAAGCGCAGGCCGCAGTCGGCGCAGCGGTGCGGGAGGCGCCGCAGGTGCACGGCCAGGTGCTGGCGCAGCGTGGAGCTCTGGGCGAAGCGCTTGCGGCACAGCTCGCACTCGAAGGGCCGCTCGCCCGAGTGCACCAGGCGGTGCCGCCGCAGGTTGGCGCGGCTGTGGAAGCCGCGGCCGCACTCGCGGCACGGGAAGGGCCGCTCGCCCGTGTGGGTGCGGGCGTGGCTGCGCAGGTGCGACGACTTCTTGAAGCTCTTGCCGCAGGCGCCGCAGCGGTGCCGCCGCTCCGCCCGGTGCACGAAGCGCCGGTGCCGCGCCAGCGCCGCCGCGCCGGGAACGCCTTGGGGCACAGCCCGCAGGGCAGCGGCTCCGCCGGCGCCTCGCCCGGGGCCGCCCCTTCCTCCTCCCCCTCCTCCTCCTCCTCCTCCTCCTCCTCCCCGCCGCGCTCGTCACCGGCGGGTCCCGGCGGCGCGGCGGGCGCGGCCCCGCCGTGGGAGCGGCGGTGGTAGAGGAACTTGGTCATGCTGGCGAAGGCCTTGCCGCAGGCGCAGCGGTGCGGGGCGGCGGCGCCGTGGTGGGCGCGCCGGTGCGAGCCCAGCGCGGCCTCGGTGTCGAGCGCGGCGCCGCACTCGAGGCACAGGAAGCGGCAGTCGCGGGCGTGCGCCTCGTGGTGCTGGCGCAGCGCGGCGGGGCTGGGCAGGACGCGGCTGCACAGCGGGCACTGCCAGCGGCCCAGGCGGTGGCAGCGCAGGTGGGAGCGCAGCGCCCGCGCCGACGGCAGCGGCTGCCGGCACTCGGGGCACCGGAACTCCGGCGGCTCCGCCGGGCGCGCCGGCTCCGGCACCGCCGCCGGTCACCGCGGGGCTGGGAGGGGGCGGCCAGGTGGGTCACCTGGTGCTCCAGGAAGTCCTTGGGGCTCTGGAAGAGCTGCAGGCACTCCCCGCACTCGTAGAGCAGCAGCTGCAGCGCTGGCCGCCCTCGCCGAGCCCCCCCCTCCGCCCCCCGGCAGCGGCACCGGCAGCACCGCCAGCGGCACCGGCAGCGCCTCCGGCCCGGGCTCGGCGCCGTCCTCGGGCTTGCGGTACGAGTGCTCCACGTCCACCCGCGCCTGGCCCTGCCCCTGGGCGTGGTTCTGGGCGTGGCCCTGGCCCTGGGTGTGTCCCTGGGTGTGTCCCTGGGCGTGTCCCTGGGCGCGGTGGCCCTGCCCCTGGGCGTGTCCCTGGGCGCGGTGGCCCTGCCGGTGCGCCAGCCACGCGTCCTGGCTCTGGAAGAGCGCGCGGCACTCGGGGCACTCGAAGTGGATGCCGGCGGCGCCGCCGGTGACGTTGGTGAGGTTGTTGGTGACATTGTTGGTGACACTGGTGGTGGCACCGGCGGCCTTGGCGCCCGGCTCGGCCCCCAGCAGCTTGAGGTGCAGCTCCTGGTGCTCGAGCAGCTGCCCCGGCGTCACCAGCAGGGCCCCGCACTCCAGGCACTGGTACTGGCTGGGCTCGGGCTCCGCCAGCAGCTCCAGGTGGGCTCGGGGGGCTCCTGGGGGCGCCCCCGGGGCAGGGGGGGCGCCCGGGGGGGGCCCCAGGTGGTGCTGGTGGTGCAGCAGGGCCTCCTCCAGAGAGGGGGACTGGTGGGAGCACTCGGAGCACACGTAGCGGTGCTCCAGCACCAGCAGCGTCTCTCCGGCAGGGACATCGCTGGGGGCACCAGAGGGGCCAGGGGGCAGGTGGGGGGCTCAGGGAGGCAGGGGACAGCGGGGGGTCAGGGGGTCAGGGGGCAGCAGGGGGTCAGAGGGCAGCAGGGGGTCAGAGGGCAGCAGGGGGGCAGGGGGCAGCAAGGGGTCAGGGGATGGCAGGGGGGTCAGGGGGCAGGGGGGTCAGGGGATGGCAGGGGGGTCAGGGGATGGCGGGGGGTCAGGGGACGACAGGGGGCAGGGGGGCAGCGGGGGTCAGGGGACAGTGGGGAGGTCAGGGGGCAGTGGGGGTCAGGGGATGGCAGGGGGTGAGGGGACAGTGGGGGGTCAGGGGACATTGGGGGTTGAGGGGAACGAGAGGGGGATCAGAGACCAAAAAAAAAATAAAATAAAAAAATAAAATAAAAGGGAAAAAAAAAAAAAGTAAGGAAAAAAGGAGGGGAAAAAAAAAAAAGAGAGGGGGGGAGGGAAAAAGGAAACAGGATCGGGAGAAGTGGAGAGAGAAATAAATGGAAGCGAAGAGGAAAAATGAGGAGAAAGAGAAGGAGAAAAGAAGAAAAATTTAAAAAGGATACTAAAAAAGAAGAAAAAGGGGAAAGGGGGGGGGGAGCAGACCCAGACCCTCAAATCCCCCCAAACCCCTCCTCGGACCCCTCAACCCCCCCAGATCTCCGCAAATCTCCCCAAAATCCCCCCCTCCAGACCCCTCAACCCTCCCAAATCCCCTCAAATCGCCCCAATCCCCCCAGGACCCCCCAACTCCCCCAGATTCCCCCAAATCTCCCTGAACTCCCTCCCAGACGCCCCCAAATCCCCTTCAATCCTCCCCCAAATCCCCAGATCACCCCAAATCACCCCAAACCCCCAAATTCCTCCCAAATTCCCAAAATCCCCAAAATCCCCGCCCCTCCCCCTGTTTCACCTCCGGCCTCTCCGTCGTTCCCGCGGCTTCGGCTCTGCCCCTCTCCCCACCCCGCAACAACCCGCCCTCTGATTGGCCGTCTCTCCTCCTGTCAATCCTCGACCCGACCAATCAGCGAGCGGCAATGGCCGCGCCGCCATCTTGGGAACGGGAGGAACCAACTCCGCGGGGGAGGTTTATTTTTGGGGGGATTGAGGGTTTTTGGGGAGGGAGGAGGGGGGGCACAAATTTAAGGGAATTTCATGAAAAATTGGGGGGTTTGGGGGGTTCGGAGAGGCTAAAAGAGGGGTTTGGGGGGATTGGGATGTACCAAGTGAGGGGGGGTCTGGGAGGTACCAAAGGGATTTTGGGGGGGTTGGGAGGTACCAAAATGATTTTGGGGGGGTCTGGAAGGTACCAAAGGGATTTTAGGGGGGTTGGGAGGTACCAAAAGGGTTTTTGGGGGGGTCTGGGAGATACCAAAGGGATTTTGGGTGGGTCTGGATTGTTCCAGTGGGATTTTGGGGGGGTCTGGATTGTTCCAGTGGGATTTTGGGGGGGTCTGGATCCTTCCAAAGGGATTTCGGGGGGCGGAGGAGGATTCTCGGAGCCGTTTGCGGGTGTTTGGTTGAAGTTTTTGGTTTTATTGTTTCTCTGTTCCCGTCGGACGATTCTCGGGGCCGGAAAAGGCGGAAAAACGGGAATTAAAAAAAAAACTCCCAAACAATGACAAAACCCCCCAAAAAAACCAACGAGGACGAAGAAAAAGGGGAAGAAAAAATGACAAAAAATCCCCAAAAATGAAAAACCCCCCAAAAATGAAAAAAAACCCAAAAAACGAAACCCCCAAAAAAACAAAACCCCCAAAAAATGAAACCCCCCAAAAATGAAACCCCCAAAAAATGAAACCCCACAAACACGAACGGGGCACGAAAAGGGGCGGGGCCAAAGGGGGCGAGGCCGGAGTGGGTGGGGCTGAGGGAGGGAGAGGGAGGGGCTAAAGGTGGGGGGGACAGGGTGGGACAAAAGGGAGGAGCCACAGAGAGAGGGCGGGGCCAAAGGGAAGTGGGAGGGGCTGTGAAAAAAGGGTGGGGTTAAAGGGAAGGGGGAGGGGTTATGGAAAGGGTGTGGCTGGGAGAAGGGGCGGGGCTAAAAGGAAAAGGGCGAGAATGAGGAGAAAGGGGAGGGGCTAAAGGGAAGGGGTGGGGTTACAAAGGGGAGGGACCAAGGGAAGGAGGGGCCAAGGGAATGGGAGGGGCAGATACAGAAGGCGGGGCCATGGGGAGATTTGGGTATAAAGGGGAGGGGTTGCAGAAAGGGGCGGAGCCAAAAAGGAGAGGAGGGGTTATGGAGAAAGGGGCAGGGCTAAATAAAAAAGGGGTGGGGCATTGGAAAAGGGGAGGGGCTTCACAAGGTGGGAGGGGCTGGGAGAGGGGCGTGGTCAATGAAAAGGGGCAGGGCCATGATGGGGTGGGGCCACAGGAGGGCGTGGCCTCACACAGGGGCGTGGCCAAGGGGCTGGGCGGGCCAAGGCGTCAAAAATAAACCCTTTGGGGGTTTGGGGGGGTTTTATAGAAATTTCCCTTTTTTTTGGTTTTTATTTGCCCTTTTCCAGCTTTTTTTTTTTCTGTTTTGTTTTTTTTTTTTTAATTATTCTTTTTATATTTTGGTTTTTCCTCCCCAATTTTGGGGCATTTTTTGAGGTTTTGGGGTTGTTTTTTTTTATTTTTTAACTGATTCTGGTTGGTACAAACGAGGGCGGCGGGGGTCTTTGGCTTCGCCGCCTCCAGTGGGGACACAGGGGACCCCCGGGATGGGGGCCCCAAAAATGGAGGGAAGGGGCTAAGTGACCCTCCCCCTCCCCAAAAACGGGGAGATCCCAAAAAATTGGGGGGGGGAGGGGAAATAAGAGGTACCCCCCCCTTTACTGGGGGTCCCAAAAAGGGGGACCCCCATTCATGTGGGACCCCCCTGTTAATTGGGGACCCCCCCGTTGATTGGGGACCCCAAATTAAGGGGTAAACCCGCTCTTGGGGGGTTGTCCGGATTTGGGTGGTCCCCATTAATGGGAGGGGGGAGGGGTTCATTTATTGGGGGGATCCCCCAAATATTCGGTGACCCCTCCCCTGGTCAATGGGGGGGATCCCCAAAATTAGGGATCCCTACAAAATTATGGACTCCCCAAACACCGGTGGGAAGGACACACTGGGGTGTGGGGGCACCGAGAACTGGGGACCCCCAAAGCCCCCGAGGTGGGGAGGGCCCCCGAGCGGCTCTTTGGTTGTCTCTGAGGTATTTTTGTCCGGGGTCGGGGGTTTTGGGGAGTTTTGGGGTCCCTAGCCTCTCCCCCGACCCTCTTTGGCTGCAGGAATTTGGGGGTCGTGCTGGTCGGACCTCTCCCGGGTGGGGTGGATGTGACGTCACGGGGGAAACCCCCGAGGTCGTGACGTCACCGGGGGACCCCCTCCCCGAATTTGTGAGGTGGGGGTGGGGGGGGGTCTCCCGGGCGGTGACGTCATCGGGGACCCGAGGTCGTGACGTCATGGGGGGTGACGTCATGAGGGGATCCCCCCAAAGCCATTGTGGGGGGTCCCAGAGGTTGTGACGTCACGGGGGAAGCCCCACGTTGGGGCGCCACAATGGGGGGTCCCCAAGGCGTGACATCATCGGGGGACCCCCAAATCCAGGTCACGAGGGGACCCCCAAATCCAGGCCATGGGGGGGGTCCCCGAGGTCACCCTGACCTTGACCTTGACCTTGACCTCCCCCTCCCGCCCCTCCCCCCCCCCAAATCTATTTGGTTTCAGTTCTGAGGTATTTTGGGACCCCTCTCCTCCGGGGTCCTTTTTGGTTCATTTAAAGCTTCCAGGGGGTGGGGAGGGGCAGGGGGAGGAACGGCCCTCCTCTCGCCCCGGCTCCGCGGGGGGACACGGGGCCCATTTTTGGTCTAAAAACACCTTTTTTTGTGGGTTTTTCACACTTTTGGGTGGTTTTTGGCTGAGGTTTTGGGTGCGGTGCTTGGTTGGCTTTTTTTTGGCTTTTTTTGTCTTTGTGTTTTTTGGCATTTTTGGCCTTTTTTTGTCCTTTTTTGGCATTTTCTGTCCTTTTTTTTTTTTGGCATTTTAAGTCCTTTTTTTTTTTTTTTTTGCCACTTTTTGTCCTTTTCTGGCCATTTTTGCCATTTTTTGTCCATTCCTGTCCATTTTTTGTCCATTCCTGTCCATTTTCCCGTCCATTCCTCTCCTTTTTCATTCCATTCTCCTCCCTTTTTTATCCATTTCCCTCCATTTTTGGTCCATTTTCCTCCTTTTTTTATCCATTTTCCTCCATTTTTGGTCCATTTCCCTCCATTTTTGGGCCGTTTCCCTCCATTTTTCTCTCCATTCTCCTCCAATTTTTTGTCCATTTTTGGCCTCTTTGGAACCATTTCCATCCTTTTTCCTCATCCATTTCCCTCCTCTTCTCGTCCATCTCCTCCTCCTTTTCCTCTCCATTTTTGGCTTTTTTTGGCCTTTTTTTGGCTTTTTTTTGGCTTTTTTTTGGTTTTTTTTGGTTTTTTTTGTTTTTTGTTTTTTTAAAGTCTTTTCATCCTTTTTGCTTTTTTTTTGTTTTTTTTTTTCTTTTTCCTCCTTTTTCCTTCTCCTTTGGGGTCTCTTTTTTCCCTCCTTTTCCTTTGGCTCCCCCAGCGTCACCGGGGGGGGAGGGGGGAGGGGAGGGGTCGAACCCCCCAAAAATCCCTTTTTTCCCCCCTTTTTTCCCCATTTTCCCCCCCGTTTTCCCAACGACACTCCCAAACCCCCCAAAACCTGGGGTCACCCTCCCCTTCCCTTCCCCCCCCCCCAAAAATCTTCTTTTTTTTTCTTCTTTTTTCCCTTTTTTTCCCTTTCTCTGCCCCCACCCCCCAAAAAGCCCCACAGGTGGGGGGGGTTGGGGTTACATTCTCTGCCCCCCCGGAACAGCCGTTTTTTTGGGGAGGTTTTGGGGTTTTTTTCCCTTTTCCGTGGGTTTTTCACAGTTTTTGCCACCCAAACGGGGCCAAAAGGGGCGCTTTGAGGTATTTGTGTGCGCTCGGGGGTCGGGGGGTCAGGCACTGCGGGGAGAGGGCCAGGGGGTTTTTGGTCTTTTCACCTCTTTTGGCTTTTGGGGGATTTTTTCCTTTTTTTTTGGTGTTTTCCTTTTTTGCTTTTTTTTGTTTTTTTTTTTCCTCTTTTCCATTTTTTTCCTTTTTTCCTCTTTTTTTTCCTCCTTTTTCTCTTCTTTGTTTTCCTCTTTTTTTCTTCTTCTTTCCCTTTTATTTTTCCTTTTTTCCTCCTCATTTTTTTCTGGCGCCTTTTCCCTCCTTTTCTCTCGTTTTTCCAGCTTTCCTTTCCTGTTGTTTCTCCACCTTTTTTTTTCCTTCTCCTTCCTTTTTTTTCCTCTTCTTTTTTCCTCTCCATTTCCTCTTTTTTCCTCTTTTCTCTCTTTTCCTTTTCCTTTTTCCGCTTCAGTTTCCTTTTTTTCACTTTAATTTTTTTCCTCTTCCTTTTCCTTTCTTCTCTTTTCCTCTTCCTTTCCGATTTTTCCTCCTTTATCTCTTTTTCCTCCTTTTCCTTTTCCCGTTTTTTCCTCATTTCTCCGTTTTTTCCCTCATTTTTCCCTCATTTTTTTCCTCACGTCGTTTTTTCATTTTCCTCTTTTTTTCCCCTTTTCCCTCAATTTTTCCCCATTTCCCCCTTTCCTCTTCCCCAGCGCCCTCTGGACAATAAATAGGGGTGGGGAGGGCAGGGCATGACCGGGGAGAGGGTCTCTTGGTGCCCTCCTCCCCCCTCGAGGTCAGACGGTTCGTGGAACTTTGGGCTGAGCTTGGGAGTCGCGACCCCGGGAGGATTTTGGTGTCAAAAGAGTCATTTTGGGTTTTTTTGGGGGGTGGATTTTTACACCCCTCCCCCTCCCCACGCCCCTCCGGCTCAAAATTTGGGCAAAAAACGCCCTTTTTGGTTCAGTTCTGCCCTCCCCCAATAAATTAAGGGGTGGGGAGGTAATTTGGGAGGGGGCAACCTTCCTCTCCCCCCTCCCGGAGCATCATTAAGTTAATTAATTAAATTAAGGGGGAGGGGTCGGTTTGGTCTGTAGCTCGTGCCGGGGAGGGGAGGGGCACCAAGGGGGAGGGGCGGGGAGGGTCGCCCCCCTCCTCCCCCCGGCCATCACTCTCCCGGGGAGGGCGGTAGGGGGAGGGGCGAGGGGGTCGCTGCTGTCGCTGCAGGAGGAGCAGGAGGAGGGGGAGGGGGCGAGGGGAGGGGCGGGCGCGGGGAGGGGCGCCCGGGCCCCCAGGTTGAGGAAGAGCGAGGGGGTCGCGCCGCCCCCAGGTCCAGGCCGGGCAGGGGCGGGGCCCGGGCACGGCCAGGGCTGCGGAGAGAGGGGAGGGGCGTCAGGGGGAGGGGTGGGGAGGACACCCCCAGTGAGACCCGCCCATTTACAGGGACCCCCAATGGGACCCCCAGTGAGACCCCCATTTACAGAGACCCACCCCCATTTACAGGGACCCTCCCCCAATTTTTAGGGACCCCCCCTCCCATTTATTGGGACCCCCCTGACCCAAAGGGACCCCCCCCCAAAAAGGGTTCCCCACCCATGAGGGGGGAGGAGGGGCCTTTGCACACCTGGGGACACACCTGGGACACACCTGGGACACTCCCACTCACACCTGGACACACCTGGGACACACCCACACACACCTGGACACGCCTGGGACACTCCCACTCACACCTGGACACACCTGGGACACACCCACACACACCTGGACACACCTGGGACACAGCTGGACACACCCCCACACACCTGGGACACACCCACACACACCTGGGACACACCTGGGACACACCTGGGACACACCTGGGACACACCTGGGATACACCTGGGACACACCCACACACACCTGGACACACCTGGGACACACCTGGACACACCTGGGACACACCCACACACACCTGGGACACACCTGGGACACACCTGGACACACCCACTCACACCTGGGACACACCTGGGACACACCTGGGACACACCTGGGACACACCTGGACACACCTGGGACACACCTGGGACACACCTGGGACACACCTGGACACGCCCACACACCCTGGCCATGCCCTCCCCCACTGCCCCTCCCCCCACTCACCTTGGATGGTGGCCAGCGGGGGAGGGGCCCTGAGACCCCCCAGCACCGAACCCCTGCGGACAGAGGGAGGGGCGAGGTCAGGAGTCAAACACCTGACCCCTCCCCACCCCACCTGTCCCCTCCCCACCCCAGCAAACCTGACCCTCCCCACCCCAACAAACCTGACCCCTCCCCACCTCCACCTGTCCCCCTCCCCCACCCCAACACACCTGTCCCTTCCCCTCCCCTCCCTCCCCCAGACTCACCCTGAGCCGAGGCCGAGGGGGAGGGGCAGCGCCGGGGGGGCGGCGGCGTGGGCGGGAGGGTCCCGGGGAGGGGCCTCGACCCCCCGCAGCGCGGGGGGTCCCAGAGCCGGCGGCCGACGACAAGGTAGTCACTGTGGGGGGACAGAGAGGTTGGGTAGAGACCTCAGAAACATTGGGGGTTGGGGTAGGGCCTACAGAAACATTGGGGGTTGGGGTAGGGCCTACATAAACATTGGGGCTTGGGGTAGGGCCTACGTAAACATTGGGGGGTTGGGGTAGGGCCTACATAAACATTGGGGGGTTTGGGTAGGGCCTACATAAACATTGGGGGTTCAGTAGGACCTACATAAACATTGGGGGTTGGGGTAGGGCCTACATAAACACTGGGGGGTTGGGTAGGGCCTACATAAATATTGGGGGTTGGGGTAGGGCCTACATAAACATCGGGGGTTGGGTAGGGCCTACATAAACATGGGGGCCTTTGGGTAGGACCTACGTAAACATTGGGGGTATTTTTGTAGGCCCTACATAAACACAGGATGTTTTTGTAGGCCCTACATAAACAAGGGTATTTTTGTAGGCCCTACATAAACACAGGATGTTTTTGTAGGCCCTACATAAACAGGGGTATTTTTGTAGGCCCTACATAAAGAGGGATGTTTTTGTAGGCCCTACATAAATAAAGGAAGGGTATTTTTGTAGGCCCTACATAAATGGGTATTTTTGTAGGCCCTACATAAATGGGTATTTTTGTAGGCCCTACATAAACAGGGGTGTTTTTGTAGGCCCTACATAAATAAAGGAAGGGTATTTTTGTAGGCCCTACGTAAACAGGGGTATTTTTGTAGGCCCTACGTAAACACAGGATGTTTTTGTAGGCCTACATGATAAGGAAGGGTATTTTTGTAGGCCCTACGTAAACACAGGGGTATTTTTGTAGGCCCTACATAAACAGGGATGTTTTTGTAGGCCCTACATAAATAAAGGAAGGGTATTTTTGTAGGCCCTACATAAATGGGTATTTTTGTAGGCCCTACATAAATGGGTATTTTTGTAGGCCCTACATAAACAGGGGTGTTTTTGTAGGCCCTACATAAATAAAGGAAGGGTATTTTTGTAGGCCCTACGTAAACAGGGGTATTTTTGTAGGCCCTACGTAAACACAGGATGGTAGGCCCTAATAAAGGAAGGATATTTTGTAGGCCCTACATAAATGGGTATTTTTGTAGGCCCTACATAAATAAAGGAAGGGTATTTTGTAGGCCCTACATAAACAGGGAGTGTTTTGTAGGCCTACATAAATAAAGGAAGGAGTATTTTGTAGGCCCTACATAAACAGAGGTATTTTTGTAGGCCCTACGTAAACAAGGATGTTTTTGTAGGCCCTACATAAATAAAGGAAGGGTATTTTTGTAGGCCCTACATAAATGGGTATTTTTGTAGGCCCTACATAAATAAAGGGAGGGTATTTTTGTAGGCCCTACATAAACACAGATGTTTTTGTAGGCCCTCCATAAACGCGGCGCGGGTCCCACCTGTTGTGCTGAGGCTGCTGGGGGCCGGGAGGCCGAGGGCGGGGCCGGGCGGGGTCACCTGGGGACAACGACAGGGACAGGTTGGGGACAGGGGCACGGATGGGGGGGCGACCAGGAATGGGTGTGGCCAGATATGGGTGTGGTCATGAATGGGTGTGGTCATGAAAGGGTGTGGTCATGAAAGGGAGTGGCTATATTTGGCTGTGACCATATTTGGGCGTGACCATAAAAGGGCATGGCCATAAAAGGGCATGACCATAAAAGGGCGTGGCCATATTTGGGCATGACCATATTTGGGTGTGGCCATATTTGGGCGTGGCCATGGCGGGGACGGCGACTGAGGCCATTTGGGGACAAGGACAGGGGCCGTTTTTGGGGACAGGGGTCAATTTGGGGACAGGCGCCATGTGAGGACAGGGACAGGGGCCATATAAGAACAGGGGCCATATAAAGGACAGGGTTATTTGGGGACAGGGGCCATATAGGGCCAGGGCCAGGGGCCATACAAGGGCAGGGGCCATACAAGGACCCACCACGTGAGCGCCGTAGTTCGGGGGCTTCCCGGGGGGGTGGGGGAGCCCCGGGCGGATCCCGGAGCTGATCCCGGAGCCGATCCCCGGAGCCGATCCCGGTGTTCCCGGGGCCGATCCCGGTGTTCCCGATCCCGGTGTTCCCAATCCCGGTGTTCCCGGTGCTCCCGATGCCCGGGGGGGTCCCGGCGCCCCCGCAGGGGTTGATCCTCTTCTCCTTCTGGCGGCGGTTGCAGAACCAGACCCGGATCACCTCCTTCTCCATGTGCAGCTGCTCCGCGATGCCCAGGATCTCCTCTGAGGTCGGCTTCTGGTTCTGGGGGGACAGAAACCCTATAGAGACCCTACAGAGACCCTATAAACACCCTATAACACCCCACAGGGCCAGGATCTCCATGTGCAGCTGCTCCGCGATGCCCAGGATCTCCTCCGAGGTTGGCTTCTGGTTCTGGGGGGACAGAAACCCTATAAACACCCTATAGGGACCCTATAAACACCCTATAACACCCCACAGGGCCAGGATCTCCTCCGACGTCGGCTTCTGGTTCTGGGGGGTATAAAAACCCTATAGAGACCCTACAGAGACCCTATAAACACCCCATAGACACCCCACAGGGCCAGGATCTCCTCCGACGTCGGCTTCTGGTTCTGGGGGGACAGAGATCCTATAGAGACCCTATAGAGACCCTATAACACCCCATAGACACCCTATAACACCCACAGGGCCAGGATCTCCTCTGACGTCGGCTTCTGGTTCTGGGGGGACAGAGATCCTATAGACACCCTACAGGGACCCTATAAACACCCTATAACACCCCAGGATCTCCTCTGAGGTCGGCTTCTGGTTCTGGGGGGCATAAAAACCCTATAGAGACCCTATAACACCCCATAAACACCCTATAACACCCCATAGGGCCAGGATCTCCTCCGACGTCGGCTTCTGGTTCTGGGGTATTTTGGGGTGTTTGGGTGTATTTCAGGGTGTTTTTGGGGTATTTTGGGGTGTTTTTGGGATATTTCGGGGTCCCTCACCACCAGGAAGCTCTTCTCCAGGGCGAAGCGCACGTTGGTCTCGATGCTGGTTCGTTTGGGTGTTTGGGGGGTTTCAGGGGTATCTCAGGGTGTTTTTGGGGTATTTTGGGGTGTTTTTGGGGTATTTTGGGGTCCCTCACCGCCAGGAAGCTCTTCTCCAGGGCGAAGCGCACGTTGGTCTCGATGCTGGTTCGTTTGGGTGTTTGGGGTATTTTGGGGTATTTTGGGGTGGTTTTTGGGGTATTTTGGGGTCCCTCACCGCCAGGAAGCTCTTCTCCAGGGCGAAGCGCACGTTGGTCTCGATGCTGGTTCGTTTGGGTGTTTGGGGTATCTCGGGGTGTTTTGGGGGTATTTTGGGGTATTTCAGGGTGGTTTTTAGGGTATTTTGGGGTATTTTGGGGTGTTTTTGGGGTCCCTCACCGCCAGGAAGCTCTTCTCCAGGGCGAAGCGCACGTTGGTCTCGATGCTGGTTCGTTTGGGTGTTTGAGAGGTATTTTGGGAGTATTTCGAGGGGTGGTTTTGGGGTATCTCAGGAGTGTTTTTGGGGTATTTTAGGGTGTTTTGGGGTCCCTCACACCAGGAAAGCTCTTCTCAGGAGCGAAGCGCACGTTGGTCTCGATGCTGGTTCGTTTGGGTGTTTGGGGTATTTTGGGGTATTTCGGGGTGGTTTTTGGGGTATCTCGGGGTGTTTTTGGGGTATTTTGGGGTGTTTTCGGGGTCTCTCACCGCCAGGAAGCTCTTCTCCAGGGCGAAGCGCACGTTGGTCTCGATGCTGGTTCGTTTGGGTGTTTGGGGTATTTTGGGGTATCTCGGGGTGGTTTTTGGGGTATTTTGGGGTGGTTTTTGGGGTATTTTGGGGTCTCTCACCGCCAGGAAGCTCTTCTCCAGGGCGAAGCGCACGTTGGTCTCGATGCTGGTTCGTTTCTTGTACCCGTCCGGGAGCCTCAGGGCACCGAGGCGAGGCGCTCGCGAGTCGGGCTGGCTCAGTCAGGGCTCGGGCAGCGGGTCGACGGGCTGGGCAGGGTCAGATCACGATCGTCTCTGGGGGGCAGGGGGTCCCTATGGATCATAGGGGGCTCAGGGGGCTCCAGGAGAGTCCCTATGGATCCAGGGGGCTCAGGGGGTCCCTATGGATCCAGGGAGCTCCAGGGGGGCAGGGGGTCCCTATGGATCGTGAGGGGGGCTCAGGGAGGTCCCTATGGATCTAGGGGGCTCCAGGGGGTCCCTATGGATCAGGGGGCTCCAGGGGTCCCTCTGGATGCTGGGGGCTCCAGGGGGGCAGGGGGTCCCTATGGATCCGGGGGGGTCCCTATGGCTCAGGGGCTCCAGGGAGTCCCTATGGATTATGGGGGGTCCCTATGGATCCAGGGGGGCTCCAGGGGGGGCAGGGGGGTCTCTCTGGTGTCTGGCATGTGGGGGGGGGTCTCAGGAGGGTCCGTAGGGATCTGTGGGGATCCCTCTGGATCTGTAGGGATCTATAGGGCTCTGTAGGGGTCAATAGGGGTCTATAGGGGCCCATAGGGGTCCATAGGGGTCTATAGGGATCTATAGGGTCCCATAGGGGTCTATAGGGGTCTATAGGGGTCCATAGGGGTCCATAGGGGTCTATAGGGGTCTATAGGGGTCTATAGGGGCCCATAGGGGTCCATAGGGGTCTATAGGGGTCTATAGGGGTCCATAGGGGTCTATAGGGGTCTATAGGGTCCCACAGGGTCCCACAGGCCCTCACCAGCGTCCCTGAGCCAGGTCTCCAGCAGGGGTTTCAGCTTGCATGGGGGGGGCTGTGGGGGATCCCTGGGGGTCTGTATTGATCTGTATTGATCTGTAGGGTTCCCTGTGGGTCCATAGGGGTCTATAGGGTCCATAGGGCCTCACCAGCGTCCCTGAGCCAGGTCTCCAGCAGGGGTTTCAGCTTGCACGGGGGGGGCTGTGGGGGATCCCTGGGGGTGCCCCTATGGATCTGCAGGGATCTCTGGGGATCTATGGGGTCTGTAGGGATCCCTATAGGGATCTATAGGGTCTATAGGGCCTCACCAGCGTCCCTGAGCCAGGTCTCCAGCAGGGGTTTCAGCTTGCACAGGGGGGGCTGTGGGGGATCCCTGGGGGTCTGTATTGATCTGTATGGATCTATAGGGGCCCATAGGGGTCCATAGGGGTCCATAGGGGTCTATAGGGGTCCATAGGGGTCCATAAGGATCTATAGGGGTCCATAGGGGTCTATAGGGGTCTATAGGGTCTCACCAGCGTCCCTGAGCCAGGTCTCCAGCAGGGGTTTCAGCTTGCATGGGGGGGGCTGTGGGGGATCCCTGGGGGTCTGTATTGATCTGTATGGATCTATAGGGGTCTATAGGGTTCTGTAGGGCTCTATAGGGGTCTATAGGGTTCTATAGGGTCTATAGGGCCTCACCAGCGTCCCTGAGCCAGGTCTCCAGCAGGGGTTTCAGCTTGCACAGGGGGGGCTGTGGGGGATCCCTGGGGGTGCCCCTATGGATCTGCAGGGATCTCTGGGGATCTATGGGGTCTGTAGGGATCCTATGGATCTATAGGGTTTATAGGCTCTCACCAGCGTCCCTGAGCCAGGTCTCCAGCAGGGGTTTCAGCTTGCACATGTTTTTGAAGCTCAGGTTCAGGGCCTCGAAGCGCGAGATCGTCGTCTGGCTGAAGTCATTCCCGTACAGCTTCCCCATGGCCAGCCCCACATCGCCCTTTGGGGAAATGGGGGGGTTTGGGGGGGTTCTGACACCCCAAACCCCCCAAAACCCCCTGAACCCCCCCCATATCAACTGACCCCCCATGGACCCCACAGAGCCCCCCAAACCCACCCCCAGACCCCACAGAGCTTCCCCATGGTCAGCCCCACATCGCCCTTTGGGGGAAATGGGGGTTGGGAGGTCCCCAAAACCTCCCTGACCCCCCAAAACCCCCTGAACCCCCCAGACCCACAGAACCCCCATCAGACCCCCAAATCCATCACTGACACCCCAGACCCCACAGAGCTTCCCCATGGCCAGCCCCATGCGCCCTTTGGGGGAAATGGGGGTCTGAGGGGATCCTGATACTCAAAAACCCTCCCAAAACCCCCTGACCCCCCATATCAACTGACACCCCATGGACCCCACAGAGCCCCCAAACCTCCCCAGACCTGAGTGAACCCCAATTTAATCCTCCTCTGTTTGAAGGTCCTGGCGAATCCTCAGACCCCCAAATCCCCCAAATCCCCCAAACCCCCAAATCCCCCAAACCCCCAAATCCCCCAGACCCCAATCCCACCTGAGTGAAGCCCAGTTTGATCCTCCTCTGTTTGAAGGTCCTGGCAAACCCCCTGACACCCAAATCCCCTCAAACCCCCAAATCCCCTCAAATCCCTCAAATCCCCCAAATCCTCAAATCCCCCAGACCCCCAGACCCCAATCCCACCTGAGTGAAGCCCAGTTTGATCCCTCCTCTGTTTGAAGGTCCTGGCGAATCCTCAGACCCCCAAACCCCTCAGACCCCCAAATCCCCCTAAATCCCCCAGACCTGAGTGAAGCCCAGTTTGATCCTCCTCTGTTTGAAGGTCCTGGCAAACCCTCAGACCCCCAAACCCCCTCAGATCCCCCAAATCCCCCAAGAATTCCCCAAATCCCCCAAATCCCCTAAATCCCCCCAAACCCCCAGACCTGAGTGAAGCCCAGTTTGATCCTCCTCTGTTTGAAGGTCCTGGCAAACTGCTCCAGCTCCTCCAGGTCGTTCGGCTCCTCGGGGGGCCCGAGGGGCTCGAGGGCATTTGAGTCCCCCCTCCCCGGAGTGGCGGCGGCTCCGGGACCCCCGGCCGGGAGGCTGAGGGAGGTGGGGATGAGGGGAGTGAAGAGGGAGACCTCAAAAAAACCCCAGGGACCCCAAAAATAACCTGGGGACCCCAAAAAATACCCTCAGGGGACCCCAAAAACAACCCCAAAAAAGCCCCATGAAGGAAGGAGAGACCCCAAAATAACCCTGGGGACCCTAAAGTCACCCTCAGGGGACCCCAAAAACAACCCAGGGCCCCAAAAATACCCCAGGGACCCCAAAAATAGCCCAGGGACCCCTAAAAACCCTTTTTTGGAGGGTTGAGACTCCCAAAACCCCCAGGGACCCCCAAAACCCCCTGGGGACCCCAAAAACAACCCCAGGGACCCCAAAAACAACCCAGGGCCCCCAAAGCCCCCAGGGACCCCCAAAACCCCCAGGGACCCCAAAAACACCTCCAGGGACCCCAAAACCCCCAGGCCCCCAAGCCCCCAGGGACCCCAAGCCACCCCCGTGCCTGGGAGTGCAGCCCCCCGCGAGGGGTTGAGCAGAAGCCCGGGCTGTGCTGAGGTAGCTGAAAGAGGTTGGGGGGAGCAGCCCTAGGGGGGGAAGAGGGTCAGGGGACCCCAAACACCCCAGGGACCACAAAACCCCCAAGATCCCCCAGACCATCCAGGGCCCCAAAACCCTTCAGGGACCCCCAAACCCCATAGGGACCCCAAAATCCCCCAAGACCCTCCCGAACCATCCAGGACCCCCAAAACCCTTCAGGGACCCCAATTAAACTCAGGGACCCCCAAACACCCTAATTCCCCACCACCACCCCAGGATCCCCAATCCCCAAATCCTTCAAATCCCCTCAGGATCCCCCAGGACCCCAGGACCCCCGTACCTTGTTGCCCCTGCTGTGGGGCAGCAGGAATTGGGGGGGCTGCAGAGGTGTCTGTGCCTCAAACCCCCAAACCCCCAAATCCCCCAAGATCCCCCATAACCACCCCCAAACCCTCCAGGACCCCTCAAAATCCCAAACCTTGTTGCCCCTGCTGAGGGCAGCAGGAGTAGAGGGGCTACAGGGGTGTCTGTGCCCAACCCCCATAACCACCCCAAATCCCCCAAGACCCCCAGGACCCCCAAACCCCAGGACCCCCAGGACCCCCAAAATCCCGTGCCTTGCTGTCCTGCTGGGGGGCAGCAGGAGTGGGGGGGCTGCAGGGGTGTCTGTGCCCAAATCCCCCATAACCACCCCAAATCCCCCCAAATCCCCCAGGACCCCCAGGACCCCCAGGACCCCCATGTACCTTGTTGCCCGTGCTGGGGGGCAGCAGGAGTGGGGGGGCTGCAGGAGTGTCTGTGCCTAAACCCCCAGGACCCCCAGGACCCCCAAATCCCCCAGGACCCCCAAACCCCCAGGACCCCCAGGACCCCCAGGACCCCCATACCTTGTTGCCCCTGCTGTGAGGCAGCAGGAGTGGGGGGGCTGCAGGAGTGTCCCGGCACGAGCACCAATTGCTGGAGCTGCAGCAGCTGCTGAATGTCCTGGGGAGGAGGAGACCCCTCAGTGAGGGGCGTTTGGGGTCGGTTTGGGGTTATTTTTGGGTATTTGGGGTTATTTTGGGGTATTTGGGGTTATTTGGGAGTATTTGGGGGTATTTGGGGTATTTGGGGTTATTTGGGTTAATTTGGGTTCATTTGGGTTCATTGGGGTTATTTGACGCTAATTTTGGTTATTTGGGGTTATTTTGGGGTTATTTTGGGGTATTTGGGTTAAATGGGGTAATTTGGGGTTAATTTGGGTCATTTTGGGTTATTTGGGTTATTTGGGGTTATTTGGGGTTAATTGGGGTTATTTGGGGGCATTTGGGTTAATTTGGGTTATTTGGGTGAATTTGGGATATTTGGGGTTATTTGGGGTGATTTTGGGATATTTGGGGTTATTTGGGGTTAATTTGGGTTAATTGGGGCTTTTTGGGTTAATTTGGGTTATTTGGGTTATTTGGGGTTATTTTGGGATATTTGGGGTTGTTTGAGGTCATTTTGGTTATTTGGGCTAATTGGGTCATTTCGGGTTATTTGGGGTCATTTCGGGTTAATTGGGGTAATTTGGGTTAATTGGGGTAATTTGGGTTAATTGGGGTTATTTGCGTTAATTTGGGTTAATTTGGGTTATTTGGGGTCATTTTGGGTTATTTGGGTTAATTTGGGATATTTGGGGTTATTTGGGGTTGTTTTGGGTTATTTGGGTTATTTTGGGTTATTTGGGTTAATTTGGGTGATTTGGGGTTAATTTGGGTTAATTTGGGTTATTTGGGGTCATTTTGGGTTATTTGGGTTAATTTGGGATATTTCGGGTTATTTGGGGTCGTTTTGGGTTATTTGGGTTATTTTGGGTTATTTGGGTTAATTTGGGTGATTTGGGGTTAATTTGGGTTAATTGGGGTTATTTGGGGTTATTTGGGTTAGTTTGGGTCATTTTGGGTTAATTTGGGTTAATTTGGGTTAATTTGGGTTATTTGGGGTTATTCTGGGTTATTTGGGGTCATTTTGGTTATTTGGGTAATTTTGGGTAATTTTGGGTTATTTTGGGTCATTCTGGGTCATTTTGGGGTCATTTTGGGTCATGTTTGGTCATTTTTGGTCATTTTTGGGTCATTTTTGGTCATTTTTGGTCATTTTTGGGTTATTTTTGGGTTATTTGGGGGGGGTCTCTCCCTTACCTGCGCCGTGAGCTGGATGGGCTGGGACAGCGCCAGCTGAGGGGATGGGGGGGGGGAGGAGGGGGTGGGGAGGGGCGGCGGGGAGAGGGCGGCCCCGTCAGGCGGGGCTGTGGGGAGGGGGTGTGGGGAGGGGGGTTGGGGCAGCGGCGCCGGGCGGGGAGGGAGGGGGCGGCGGGGGGTCCTGCAGGCAGGGGGCTGTGGGAGTGTGGGGGTGCTGAGTGTGTGTTGTTGTTGTTGTTGTTGTTGTTGTTGATTGTTGTTGTTGTTGTTGTTGTTGTTGTTGTTGCTGAGCCGCGGCCGCCGCCATCGGGAGCTGGGCCTGGGCCAGCAGCTGCTGGGGGAGCAGCAGCCGCCAGCCTGGAGGCGAGATTTGGGGGTGGGGGGGTCGGGAGGGGTCAGGGGAGGGGGTGGGAGAAGGGTCGGGGGTCAGGGGGTGACAGGGGAGGAGGGGAGGTGAGGAGGGGGAGGGTAGGGGGGCACGGGGGGGACACCGGCCCGGGAGGTCGGGGAGGGGATTTGGGGGGTGGGGGGTCGGGAGGGGTCAGGGGAGGGGGTGGGAGAAGGGTCGGGGGTCGGGGGAGCAAGGGAGGGAGGGGAGGTGAGGGAGGGGGAGGGAATGGGAGGCACGGGGGGGCATTTGGGGGCACCCGGAACGGGGGGGTCAGGAGGGGATTTGGGGGAGGGGGTCGGGAGGGGTCAGGAAGGGGTGGGAAAAGGGTCGGGGGGTGATGGGGAGGGAAGGGGAGGGGAGGGGAATGGGGGGCAGGGGGGCAAAGCGGGGGCAAAGCGGGGGGGGCGGGGACACATTTGGGACAGTTTGGGGTCAGGAAGGGACAATTTGGGGTCAAAAGGGACAGTTTGGGGTCACAAGAAGGGGTCACAAAGGGAGGGTCACACGGGGACAATTTGGGGTCAGAAAGGGACAGTTTGGGGTCACAAGGGGGAATCACAAAGAGGGGTCACACAGGGACAGTTTGGGGTCAGAGAGGGACAATTTGGGGTCAGGAAGGGACATTTCAGGGTCACAAGGGGGGGTCACAAAGGGGGGGTCACAGGAGGACAAATTTGGGGTCACAAGGAGGGGTCACAAAAGGGGGATCACAGGAGGATGATTTGGGGTCAAAAGGGACAGTTTGGGGTCAGGAAGGGATATTTCAGGGTCACAAGGGGGGGTCACAAAGGGGGGATCACAGGAGGGACAATTTGGGGTCAGAAAGGGACAGTTTGGGGTCACAAGGAGGGGTCACAAAGGGGGGGTCACAGGAGGACAATTTGGGGTTAGAAAGGGACAATTTGGGGTCACAGGAGGGACAATTTGGGGTCACACACAAGGGGGTCACACAGGGGGTGGGGAGGGGCAGCGTGTTAGTACCAGCCCCAAGCGCCCCTCCCCCCACAGCAGCGAAGCCCCGCCCCCTCCAAACTCCTCCCTCCCCACCCCCAAAACGTCCCCAAAACGTCCCCAAATGTCCCCAAATTGTCTCCCAAAACGTCCCCAAAATGTCCCAAAACGTCCCCAAATCTCACCCCGGCCAGTTGGGACCCCGCGAGCAGCAGCTGAGCCGGGGGCGGGGGAGGAGGCGGCTCCGGGGGCCACGCCCCGTCACCTGCAGGGGAGGGGTCAGACAGGGGGTGGGGGTCCAGGGGGAATCTGGGGGGATTTGGGGTCATTTGGGGGATTTTGGGGGGGATTTGGGGTCATTGGGGGAGGATTTGGGGAGGATTTGGGGTCATTTAGAGGGATTTTGGGGGGATTTGGGGTCATTTCGGGGAGGATTTGGAGGTCATTTGGGGGATTTGGGGTCATTTAGGGGGATTTGGGGGGGTTCTGGGGGAATTGGGGGATCTGGGGGGGATTTGGGAGGGGAGGATTTGGGATGTTTGGGGTAATTTCAGGGTGTTTTTGGGTAATTTCAGGGTGTTTTGGGGCTGTTTTGGGGTGATTTGGGGAGTTCCCCGGCGTTTCCTGTTTTTGGCGCCGGGATTTCCCCCGCCCTCCCCCACCCTCCCCTCCCCCTCCCCGGCACCAAAACAGGAACCGGGGGGGCCGAGGGAGTCCCAGGGGGATTTAGGGGGTCTGGGGAGACATTTGGGGTCATTTGGGGGATTTGGGGTCTGGGGAGGGTTGGGGTGGGGGTTGTTTTGGGGAGGGTTTGGGGGTCCTGGGTGTGGGGTTTTGGGGTCGGGGTTGGGGTGTTATTTGGGGAGGATTTTGAGGGTATTTTGAGGGGGTATTTTGAGGAATTTTGAGGGGGTATTTTGGGGGGTATTTGGGGAGGATATTTTGGGATTGGGGTATTTTGGGGGGATTTTTGAGTGGGGGTCTCACCTTGGTGCCGGGCCGGGGGGACTGGGCCGAAGGGAGGTTTGTTCTGCTGGGCCTTGGGGGGATACACAATGGTTTGGGAGCGGGAGACCCCAGACCCCAAATCAACCCCCCAACACCCCCAAACCTCCTGAGATCCCCCCAAATTCCCCAGACCCCCCACCCCAAACCCCCTGAACCCTCCAACTCCTCCCCAAAATCCCCCGACCCCAAAATCCCCCCCAGAGTCCCCAAATTTACCCCAAACCCCAAAATCTAGCCCCCCAAAATGCCCCCAAGACCCCTCAACCCCCCTCAACACCCCCAAATTCCCCCAAGAGCCCCCAAATTCCTCCCAGACCCCAAAATTTCACCCCAAACCCTAAAATCCCCCAAAATCCCCCTCAGACCCCTCCAAATTTCACCCCCAAAATCCCCCAGACCCCCCAAATTCTCCCAGCCCCCAGGCCTCACCTGGTGGTTCGTGTCGGGTCCATTCGTTTCTGTCTCTGGGGGGGAGTTTGGGGGTGGGACCCTCAGGGGGTCCCCAAACCCCCTCCGGGACCCTCCAGGTGCCCCCACAACTCCCCAGGACCCCCAAAGGTCCCCATTCACCCACCTTAGAAGGCACAATGTTCCCCAAAGTCCCCCAAAGCCTCCCCAGACCCCAAAGCCCCTCCAGAGTCCCCCCAATGTCCCCAAAGACCTCCCAATGTCCCCAACCCCCTCAATGTCCCCAAATGTCCCCCAATTTAACCCCCAATCACCCAAAGCCCCCCTGAGTCCCCAATTCCCCCAAACCCCGAAACCTCCCCAAAAACCTCCCAACCCCCTCAATGTCCCCAAATGTCCCCCAATTTAACCCCCAATCCACCTCCAAAGCCCCCCAGAGTCCCTAATCCCCCAAACCCCCAAACTCCTCCACAAAACCTCCCAAAGCCCTCTCCAATGTCCCCACACCCCAAGTCCCCCACAACGGACTCCAGTCCCCAGCCCCAATGTTCCCAGAGACCCCCAAATCCCCCAAAATCCCCAGACCCCCAGAGACCCCCAAATCCCCCTACCCGTGGGCTCCCCGGGCAGCTCCGCCCGCGCCTTCTCCGGTTCCAGCGGCTCAGACATCCTGGGGGCTGGGGGTAATGGGAGTTAACAATAGGGGGAGGTTCAGATCAATATTGGGGCTGGGGGTTAGATTCTGGGGTTAAATCAATATTGGGGGGCATAGGGGCTCAGACATCCTGGGGGTGGTGAATCAATATTGGGGGTATAATCGGGGGCTCACGGGGCTCCAGACATCCTGGGGGCTGGGGAATCAATAATGGGGGTCACTGATCAATATTGGGGGTTAAATTAAGAGTTCCAGCAGCTCAGACATCCTGGGGGCTGGGGATAAATCAATATTGGAGGCACAAATCAATATTGGGGGGTAAATCAATATTGGGGGCTCAGACATCCTGGGGCTGGGGGGGTCAAATTGGGGGTCACTGATAAATATTGAGGTTAAATTGGGGAGTCACAGAGGCTCAGACATCCTGGGGGTAACAACATGGGGGTAAATCAATATTGGGGATTAAATCAATATTGGGGTAAATCAGATATCTGGGGGCCACTGGATAAATATTGGGAGTTAAATTGGGGAGATCATTAGGGGCTCAGACATCCTGGGGGCTGGGGGAATGGGGGAATCAATATTGGGGGATAAATCAATATTGGGGGGCTCAGACATCCTGGGGGCTGGGGAATCAATAATGGGGGTTAAATCAATATTGGGGGGTTAAATTGGGGGTCACTGATCAATATTGGGGTTAAATTGGGAGGTCACAGCAGCTCAGACATCCTGGGGGCTGGGGGAAATCAATATTGGGGAGGAAATCAATATTGGGGGTCACAGATGGTTGAATTGGGGTTCCAGCGGCTCAGACATCCTGGGGGCTGGGGAGGGAATTGGGGGTTAAATCAATATTGGGGGGTCACTTGGAGTAAATATTGGGGGTCACAGATTAAATATTGGGGTTAAATTGGGGGGTCACGAGCTGGTTCAGGACATCCTGGGGTTAGGGACTTAAATATCTTGGAGTGGGGAGAATTAAATTGGGGAGGGGGATTAAAATTGGGGGTCACAAATACAGGGGGAGTCACATTTGGTCCAAACCCCGCAAATCCCCCCAAACTCCCTCCAAATCAGCCCAAAATCGGGCCCTAAAATCACCCCCCAAAACTGCCCCCAAATCAGCTCAAAATCACCCCCAAAATCACATCTGAAAATGCTCCAAATCAGCTCAAAATCACCCCAAAATCACCCCAAAAATGCTCCAAATCAGCCCAAAATCAGGCCCCCAAAAACAACCCCAAATCAGCCCAAAATCACCCCCAAATCACCTCCAAAATGCTCCAAATCAGCTCCAAATCACCCCAAAATCACCCCCAAACTGCTCCAAATCGGCCCAAAATCGGCTCCCAAATCACCCCCAAAACGCTCCAAATCAGCCCAGACTGCCCCAAAAAGAGCTGCAAATCGCCCCCAAATCGTCCCCAAATCGCTCGAAATTCACTCCAAACCACCCCAAATCCCCCCCCAAATCCTTCCAAATCACCGGGAAATCACCCAAAAATCATCCCAATCCCCCTCAAACACCCCAAATCTCCCAAATCCCCCAAAATCGAGTTGAACTCACCCCAACCACCCCAAAACCCCCAAAACGCTCCCAATCCCCCGAAATCGCCCCAAAATCAACCCAAACACCCCCAAATCCCCCCCAGGTCTCTCAGAAATGACCCAAATTCACCCAAATCGTCCCCAAATCCCCATAAATCCCCAAACCCCCAAAATCCCCCAAATCCCCTGTTACCTCGGGGTTTCACCCTTCCTGGGGGGTTTGGGGGAGTCCTGGGGTTTTGGGGGTCCCGAGGGTTTGTGGGGTCCCGAGCCGCGTCCGGAGGCCCCGGGGCAGTCAGAGTGGGGCCCCAAACTACCCCCCAAAAAAGCCCCCAGGTGTCCCTCTCATTTGCATAACCGCTGAGTCACCCCCAAATGTGGGGGCGGGGGAAATGGGGGTGGGGAGGGCCGTGACCCCCGGGCCCCTCCCCCACACTTTCACTTCTCCTTTCGGGGGGTTTGGTTGGGGTTTTAGGTAAAAACGGCCGATTTACCCGAAAATGCCCTAAAATTTGGCGGTCGGGAACGGAGGCACCGAGACCCCAAAATCCTCTCTTGAGACCCCCTAAAATCCCCCTCCTTAGGACCCCCAAAATCCCCTCTTGGGACCCCCAAAATCTCCTCCCAGAACCCCCTCAAGGACCCCAAACCAGCCCCGGGGGTTCAAACCTCCCCAAATCCTCCCCCAACTCCTCAAAACTCCCCAAATCCCCCAAAATCCCAATCCCCGTACCTGCTGCCCACACGTTGGGGTTCACCATGGCAGGGGGCTGGGGGGTTGGAGGGTTTTGAGAGGATTTGGGGGATTGTAGGGGTCCGGGGTCGAGAGGCCCCGGAGGCTCCAGGAAGCTCCGGAGGAAGCGCCGGCAGCGCCGGAATTCGTGGGGTGACGGAGCCCGGGGAGTGGAGGGGAGAAACGGCACGGGCCGGCCCCGAAACCCACGTGGAACACCCCAGAACACCCCAGAACACCCTAAAACACCCCAAAAACACCCCGAAACCCTGCGGGAACACCCACGAACACCCAAAAAACACCCCAAAAACACCCCCAGAACACCCAAAAACACCCCCAAAACACCCCAAAAAACACCCCCAAACCACCCCGAAATCCCGCGGGAACACCCAGAACACCCCAAAACACCCCGAAAACACCCCAAAAACACCCCAATATACCCCAAAACACCCCAGAACACCCCCAAACACTCCAAAACTCCCTAAAACACCCCAAACCCCCGTGGGAACGCCCAAAACCACCCCAAAATACCCACACCCAAAACACCCAAAAAACACCCCAAAACACCCCAAAACCACCCCAAAACGCCCCAAAATACCCCCAAACCCCACAAAACCATCCCAAAACACCCCCAAAACATCCCAGAACACCCCCAAAATACCCCCAAAACAGTCCAGAACACCCCAATATAGCCCAGAACACCCCAAAACACCCCCAAAACACCCCAAAATACCCCCAAAACAGCCCAGAACACCCCAAAACCGCCCCTGAGCAACCCCAGGGACCCCCTGGACACCCCAAATACACCCAAAACCAACTCCCAAAACAGCCCCAAAGAAACCAAGACACCCCACGGACGACAGGGATGGACACACGGACACCCACGGGTGACACCCCAAAATGACACCCCAAAATGACACCCCCAAATGACACTCCTCGGTGTCCCCTCCTCCCCACGGCGGGATCGAGGAAAGGGA